GTTGCTCTTTTTCTAAAACAGGGGAAGAGGTATCATCGTCATCATTTATATTTCCCCAAACCAGACATATCAGAAAGTAACCTAGGAAAATCAGGTTCATCCCTGATACCATAGTAGATATTTTAATACAAGTGGTAGGACGCTTCTTTAAATTCTATAGAAATACTTGAGTATTTCTGAAATCTCTTCCTATTTCTCTCATGCACATCACTATAATTGCTACTTACTGGTGAGGAGACAGATCTTTTCCATTGGCTAAAATCCATGAATAATGATGCTATAGGGACCAACCAGAAAGAACCACGCAATTAAACCAACAGAAACTATTTAAAATGTCTCAGAGGAAATTAATTTTTTTATGCACAGATGCCTAAACTAATTCAAATCAATTCACACCCAGGAAATACATTGACTTCCTCCTATATACAAGTCTGAAATACTATGGAGAAAGCTGTCTTTCCAAAAGCTGTTTAAAAACTTTTAAATAGCAATTGTAAATTAAATACAGTAATTCTATTCTTCCAGAATATAGTCTATTCTCTCTTTTTCCCCCCCCAGTAAGTTTGCAATTTCATATTATCGTCATATGAATCTATTATTTTTAAGTGCCTTAAACTTTTATTTTCTAAATAAAACAAAACTACCACAGTATAGATGAGAGAATTTTTAAGAATCATTTCTGTTGATAACAAGTTGCTAAATTAAAATATTGCTGAGATGTTTGGGAAGTTAGAATATGATCACAACTAAGTACCGTGTTTCCCACAAAATAAGGCCGGGCCTTATTTTTTTTTGACCCCCGAAAAAACGTCTAGGCCGTCTTTTCGGGGGTGACTTAATTCCCCCCTCTTGCATCCTCGGGTGGGCGGGCAGCAACAGCTTGGATGTTGACCTCAGCGTTGGTGGGGCACTTCGTATCGGGAGACCTTCCGCCACCATTGCTTTCCCTTCTCCCTTGCTGCCGCGGCGTTTTGAGCAACGCCGCAGCGTTTGGCACAGCCACATGTGGCCAGACAGGGCTCCTCCTTGCAACCGGAGCCCGGCGGAGACACTTGGCTTCAGGCGCTCCTGTCACCGCCTTCCCTTTGCCTTCGAAGGTAAAGCCAATTATTTAAAAAATGGCGCCCTACTACAACAAAGCCTCCCCTGCCCGAGAGGGCAGTCCAACCCCACATGGGGAGGTGAATCTCCTGGGGCCGTAGCGCAGGATCGGCCCACCTCGGGAGAAGTGCCCAGCCGCCATCCCTACCTGGCGCCAGGCAGAGTGCGAAGAGCTTCGCCTGGGGCGCCCACTGCAGCTGACAGGCGGGCCCTCCTGCCCAGCAGCAGAGCTCTCACCAAGGCAGTGAGCGCCTCCCTGCCAGACCCTCCGTTCATCCCGCCAGGGCCGCGCCAGAGCCGTGCGGGCAAGTCCCTCCAGCCTGAACCCAAAGCCACCGGGGGAGGCTGCCCGAGGCAGTGATAGCGCCCACCCGCCTGTGGACAGGGAGGCGAGGTGATGGCAGCGCTGTTTCCCTGGCCGGTGGAGAGAGCCCGTAGCCGCCCGTCCTTTCCACTCTTCGCCCAGCCCGTCCCCGTCCCCACGCATCTCCAAATGCACCGGCAGCTCCAAATGCTGCAGTGGAACAGGCATCAGGCAGAGGTGCTGACTCGGCGGGGCTCAGCTCGGAGGACACGGTGCAGGCCATCGCCTTGCCTCCCTGTCCACGGATGGATGGCTATCACTGCCTCGGGCAGCCCCTTCCGGTGGCCCCTTCGGGTTCGGGCTGGAGGGACTTGTGAAGGAAGCCAAGCTTGGGTTGGCCCGGCTCTTTCGCTTGGCAGGCGGGCGTGCACCCGCGGCTCGCTTTCCCAGCTCTGCCCAGCCCGCACAGCTCCGGTGCGGCCCTGGTGGGATGAGCGGAGGGCCCAGCGGGGAGGTGCTCGCTGCCTTGGCGAGAGCTCTGCCGCCGGGCAGGAGGGCCCACCTGTCAGCTGTGCTGGGCGCCCAAGGCGAAGTTCTTCGCGCTCTGCCCGGCGCCAGGCAGGGATGGCGGCTGGGTGCTTCTCCCAGGGTGGGCCGATCCTGCGCTGCGGCCCCGGGAGATTCGCCTCCCCACGTGGGGGTTGGGCTGCCCTCTCGGATAGGGGAGGCTTTGTTGTAGTAGGGTGTTGTTTTTAAAAGAGTTGGCTTTACCTTCAAAGGCAAAGGGAAGGCGGCGACAGGAGCGCCTGAAACCAAGTGTCTCCACAGGGCTCCGGTTGCAGGGAGGAGCCCTGGCTGGCCGCAAATGGCTGCGCCAAACGCTGTGGCGTTGCTCAAAACGCCATGGCAGCACGGGGAGAAGGTAAAGCAACGGTGGCGGAAGGTCTCCCGATACGAAGTGCCCCACCAACGCAGGCAGCACCATATCCGGGTATGCAACAAAAGTACTTCCTAACGGCAAGCCCCCCCACCATTCCCCCCCCATTTCGCATGTTTAATATAGGCCTTAATTTGGGGGGAGGGGCTTAATTTGATTTTATGCCAATAAAACATGCTGGGCCTTCCTATTGGTGGAGGCTGTATTGTTGGAGAAACACGGTAATTGAGAAATATGAACATGCAAAATGGAAATACAGATTAAGTTAAATATAAGTGGAATTTCAAGATGATTTTTTTCTATCACAGAAATTGAATTATAGGAAAACAGATTTTACTGAAAACTAAATTTATCTAAAAATACTTAGGACAATTTTGACATTTTAAGAGAGTCAGAAAAATCTAATGATTTTTTTTTTTTAAAAGTCTTATTTTAATCCTTGCAGATGTTGCAGAGGAAAAAAGAACCAGTGCTCAAGATAGAAGGGCCTCAAGCATCTATACCAGAGTACCCCAATCTTTCTGGCTTTGCGGCCTGGTGGCAGGAGGGAAGGAAGAGGGGATAGTTCCTCATGAGTGATGGGCAAGTGCATATGTGTGCAGCTCCATTTGCATAAGTGGCAGGCATGTGTGCGTATTGCTTGTGTAAATGGAACACACATGCTCATCTGCTGCTTGTGCAAGTGGGGATGCGCGTGTGCTCGCCCGCCACTTCCATGGGCCAGTTTCAAACAGCTCAAGACCCAGTAGTGGGCTACAGCCCGGGGATTGGAGACTCCTGTTCTACATTATCCAGTGTAGTTTTGTCTTTTTGCCGAATCACAGCTGTTGTCTGAGATCCAGGGTGTTCTTGTTATAACAGTAATTTACTGCTTTCTGAGCTTTCTTTTGATAATTTGTCTTAAGATATTAAGTTCGAACTACATGTCTTGAAACTGGCTAAGATTACATAAATTATGTATGTTACGTTTTATCTATGATGTTGAACAAATCATAATGGCGATATTAACACATTTTAAGCTAGAGGATGGAATACTTTCAGTCTGGTTACTTTATCATGCAAATTCAGAAAATTAGATTAACTGGACAAGCTAGTTAACAAGTACAGCAACAAAGGTAGCTTCATGGAAATAAAAATTGCCAGACTATAACTTTGGTTAATAGAAGCAGGTATTATGCTTGATCAATGCTAATTTGAAATAATCAGGCTGATCTTGAAAAAGTTAAGCAAGGTTAACTTTTGAAAACTATTGAAAACATGGATAGGACACTGAGTATAACTGGGCATCATTGGGATATCGATGACATCTTCGCCAGCACTGTAGGCATTAGATACACAAACTTCTTTTATTTCATTTCTCTGTGGAGTTTTAGATGCAAGAATTAGAAATCAATATATTTAAATAGCTTACCTTATCATTACTGCTGAAAAATATGTACTCTATTAATTTTAAGACCAAATGCTATTCTGAATACAGACTTTTTGGCAACATCTTGGAAAAAAGGGCAAAAGTGGAAGACCATATGCTGTGTTCACAATTTGACTTTTTTATTGGCATCTTCTTGGGGTACACAAATCAAACTCATAAAAATTGATCAGCTGTCTTTTATCAAGTTCATACACAATATTGCAAAAAGGAGTATTTGTTTTAAAATGTTGTTGACAAATGCTGTGTGTTCTGAATCTGTACATAGCCCTAGTAATGGTATGTAAAATCTTTGAAATGATATGTGATGCGTATGAATAAACATTACAAGGCTTTTACTTACTTTTCTCTTCAATGAAACTTGCAAAACTTCTCACTGTAGAAACTATACTTTAGTCCAGCTTGGCGCATTTCCACCAGATCTGCAATTTCTCCTCAAAGCTCATTTTCAGTTTGTCTGACCACTCCGCTTTCTTTATTAACATCTAAAACAAAACAGCAGCCCAGGTTTATTGATGGGAAGGATAGCTTTGCTACTTCTTGCCTCAACTGCCACCTTTTCAGGGTAAGAGTTGAACTTCTGCTTTGATTCATCACTCTCACTTTCCCCACTTCCGTTTTTTACTTTCTTTCAGGGGAAGACAGGAAAGCAGATAATATTGGCTAGAAGAGCTAAACTTTGTTCTCAAACAGATTATTTTATGGCAAACTCTTCAGCTCACCAACCCCAAGCATCTATTATATGAAAATACTGTCATATATAATATAGTACTACAAATAATAACAACATTGATCCCTTGGAAAAAGACCCATCGACTCCTGGCTGTCGATATTAACCACTTTTATACTCTGTTTTGACTAAAAGAAATCTTAGTTCAGGAACAAGCTGAAATAAAGAGGATTTTTCCCCCTTTTGGTCCTCTCTCCCCACATCTGATTTTATTCTGACGTTAATGAACTTAACATCCAAATACAATCGGTCTGGATCTCAAACGGAATGCCAACAACGTAAATGAACGTTTGCCCCAAGCAGGCAGCTTGAAATCCCAATTGATGTCCGCATCCTCGGTCTCACTGGGACGAAAGGGACCCCACACACTCGCCCCCTTAGGACTTTTGGATTGGGGGGGGGGGGGGCTTTCCCACTACCTCACAGCCACACGACAAAGCCACGCCCCCTCTCTCCTATATCCCCGCCCACTTATTAGTCTCCCAACTTATTACTTCCGCGACGGCCGTTTTGCTCCTCCTCGTCTCGCGCTGCTTCCCTCAGACGTCGCTCATTGATGGTGCTCGTGCTCTTTCCGCTCGCTCTCCCACCCCCTCCCTTTCGCTTTAACCCCCGCTCGCGAGACCGGCGTTTCCCCTTTAGTGGGCTGTTTGGCATCCTACCGGCTCCCAAGATGGCGTCCATCATGGAGGGTCCGCTGAGCAAATGGACCAACCTGATGAAAGGTTGGCAGTACCGCTGGTTCGTGCTCGACTACAACGCTGGACTGCTTTCCTATTACACGGTGAATATGGAAGGAGGGGCCGCGCTGGAACATAAATGAAGTGTGCAGAGTATATGTATGTATATATATGGGGGGGGGGGGGGGGCGGAAGCAGCCCGTCAAGCTGCGCGCTTAGTAGGGATAGGAGATTTAGGGAGGGGGGGTTCTGAGAGAGGGCGTGTCGTACCGGAAAGCCAATCGGGATAGGTGCAATCCTGCTCGTGTCCAATGGGGAGTTAAGTTTGGAAGATTTATATGAAAGGAGCGTGCGGGAGAGTTAACATTTAACATACCGCGACTGAAGTGGGGAGGAGGATAAAGTGCCCAGCCCGGTCTTTGGAATGCACTGCTTAGTTTATGAAATAAAAAGGAACGACGCTAGTCCCAAATAGACCAACGGGAGTGTGGAAAGGGGACTCTTCTTTCTTTTGGCATAGGTAGTTTTCCGTGTTACAGAATAACAGAATTGGAAGGGACTTTGGAGGTCTTCTAGTCTAACCAAGCAGGAGTCTCTATACCGTCCCAGACAAATGGCTGTCGAATCTCTTAAAAACCTCCAGTGATGGAGCACCCACAATTTCTGGAGCCAAGCCGCTGCACTGATTTAATTGTTCTCAATGTCAGGAAATTTCTCCTTACTTCTACATTGCTTCTCTTCTTGATAAGCTTCCATCGTTTACTTGTTGCCCTGCCCTCAGATGCTTTGGAACAGGGATCTCCACCCTTGGCAACGTAAAAACCTGTGGACTTCAACTTCCACTCTGGGAGTTTTCCAATCTGCTTTGGAAAACAGGTCGACCGCCTCTTATTAAAGACGTATTAAAGACTCAACTTAGTAATAATAACTTCCCTTAGTAAAGACTGGAACTGTTGCTGTGCTGGTATTTGAGGGTGGAAATACTACATTTCTGGATAATAAGATTATCGTATGTGTGCATAATTTCTTTCCACTTAGTTTAAGTGTCTAACTTGTGCAAACTTGAAATTAATTCTCAGTGAACTTGCTTAAGCTCCCATCTGTTAAGCCTTAAACTGAGGTAGGGCTTATTATGTGTGCTAGTATGATATTTTTGATAATTTTGTATATCACAGGTGAAACTAACTTTTCTCTGAAGAATGAAAAATCCATTAAATAATAAGGAAAAAAAATACAAAAAGTGGCAACAGTTATGGCAGGATAAATGTTCATGAGATACCACCATTCTTTTCTTGCAGCAATCTGTCTGAAAAAAATTCAGCTACCATAATCTCTGTACTGCAATAGCCAGCAAATCCCATTTACAGACTACATTAAAACAGGCATTTTTTTCATGTGCTAGTGAAAAATAATCTATAGTAACTCACTTATTAGCCTATATTTCTTCCGCCTCCTATTTAGCTGCATTTAATGTAAAATTATATTTTAATAAAAAATTATTATTTTTCTTTTCAATCATGTTTGATTTTCAGAGACTACCTAAACTCAGTCCCTGTGGTTTCTTGGCAAGGTTTTTTTTAGAAATGGTTTGCCATTGCCTCTTCCTTAGGGCTGGCCCAAAAATCACCCAGCTGGCTTTGTGCCTAAGGCAGGACTAGAACTCAGTCTCCCAATTTCTAGACTGATGTCTTAAACTGTACACCAAACTTTAAAAATTAAGTTTTAAACTTTTTAAAAGTATTTTTAAAAATTGAGTAAAATTGACTGTTAGTGTCTTTTTGTGTACCATACTTCGTCATATATTAATTCCTCTCCATCTTATTAGATTTTAATTTGTTCAAACTAAATATATATTCTGTCATTTAAATATTATGGAAGTTGTAGAAATTGCTCTTTTTTATGGAGCTAGTTTCAGTTGCTACTTTGTATACATTTCCTTCAGAAAGACTTAATTTAAAATTGATTGCTAATTTTTTGTTATCTGTTTTATATCCTGGCCAATTCTCTTCGTTATTTCTACAACTCTTCTGGTTTTGTTATGATATACTATAGAATATGCATCACGTTCACCATGGTATAAAGAAACAGTAATCTTTTCTGCCTGTTACTCCAGTATCCAGTTTCTTTTTTTATGTATATAATTGCTAAACTGCTATCTTCAGGTAACAATTCAAGAGTACATGCAGTGAATTTATACCGGTAATGTAAAAATATAACAATAATAATAAAGACACCTAGGCAAAAATCTCAATAGCCCAAACAGCAGGATACATAAAACAAGCAAATTAACAAAACTATCAGTGAGAATGTTCCAACTACTACAGGAGGAAGAAATTAATTTCTTAATTTATTATTGTGTAATATTTTCCCTACAAAAGTAGTTGTTTAGTAATCTTAAGTGTATTATTTATAATAATAAAAATTGTGTAGAATGTAAGTGATCATTAATATATATAGATATTATTGGAATAGAAGTTAAAAATAGGAAAATAAGTGGAAGTTGCATAAAATAATACTGAGTGAGATAGAAATATACCCAATCTGATACTTTTAGCAGAATGTGATAGGTGCTAGTTCTGATGTATGATTTTGAGATTATCCTATTTAAATCTACATAACTTTTTCTCTCTGGATATTTAAACTATACATTGTTATCGTTAATTATCAGCCATGCTAGATGAACTGTATGGGATTAATAGTCCAAAATATCTGGAAACATTATCGTGTTTACTAGTCTTGTTCTAGTTCTTGGGTGCCTTTTTAATCTGTAAAGAACATAAATCATGTTATTTTAGGAAATGATTTGCTTATCAATATATGTTCAGTACATAAAGTAACAACTAGTTTAAAGCTTTAATTTAGCAGGCTTCCATTCAGCTGTCTTAGAATGAAACAAACTAAATTTCAGATTATATCAGTCTCTTACCCCCACCCCGAAATAATGTCCATGTCCATTGCATCTATAGTGATATGGACAAGATAGGTCAGTTTACATTTCTATGTCATAGATTTGTATGAACCTATGTATTTACATAAATGTTAATTAACTCAGATACATAAAAATGCTAGGGAGCACTCTGGAAGGCCTTCTACCTCCTTTCTTGTTATATAGACTGAGAACAAAGTAAACAAGCAGTTTACAGGATTAAAAGCAATCCGAAAGCACAAAAAGCCTCCAAGAGCAGAAATGTGAAATAACTGGTTTCTTATTTAGCACATATTTTCTGCTTTAAGTTAAAGCACTTAATCTGAAGGGACATGTAATATCAGATTATTTCAAATAAAGGGCTATGAAGTGATCTCATTCAGGAAAATTATGTTACAATATAGTTCCTTAACTTCTAGTAATTTAACAAGATTACTTTTTGTACTAATATGTAGACAGAAGAAATTGTTCAATGAATCACTTTTAAATTCTTAAATTATTTGTAACTTTGCAAAATTTTACTATTTTACTTTTAATTGATTACTTTGTGAAATTTTACCTTTCTGGAGACAGAAAAGAATTAAAAAATTCCATATGGAAATAAAACTAAATTATAGGTATATAGTGAAAGGTATTGATGGATAAATTCTATGTTTGCTGTGAACTGTACCAAATTCTCTGTTCAGAAAAGAATACTGTAGACTATTTATTTGGGATTTTGTTATTAACACCAGCAGATTTATTTATTTGCTGACATTTCTGTGTTGCTTTACTCAAAATGACCTGGATAGCATACAGCAAAAATGAGGAGTAAACAATTAATAAATATACTAGCATAATCCAGTGTGATAAATTGCAGACTTGACATTTCCCAAATCTTATTCTCAGAACCAGGTTCTTGGAGAAGTTCATAGGGTTTGTATATATGGTTTATATATACATGGACAAGTTATTCCACAGGAGGTGTGCCAACATTGAGAACGCCCTACTTCAGGGTCTTTGCAAATGCAACTCCTTATGGGAATGGGTTCTTCAGCAGGGCATTGGATCTTAGAGCAAGCAATTCTGAAGATAACCAACATCAGACATGTGCTGGGCTTTAAAGGTGATAACCCTAACCTTGAACTGCAATGAGAAACTGACTGACAGCCAGTGCAACTCCTGGAGTAAACATGCTATATGGGTATACATGCACATCACTACCAGAGTGACTGTGTTAAATCAGTGTAAGTTTTCAGATGGTTTTCAAGGGCAGCCCCGTATAGAGTAAATTGCAATAGTCTGCTTGTAAATTGATGAATGTATGAGTGATTTTATGCAATGCGAGTGAAAAAAGATGTAATTGTACAAATGCTTTCCTAGATAAGATTTATAAGATAAGATTTATATATAAGATAAGATTTATAAGATGCTCAAGCAGGAGAGACCTTGGATAGCAGTGATTACCTCTGCACAGTGGTTCCTTTATATCTGCACAGATAGTCAAAACATATTTTGGTTTTTCCTAATTGTTAATTTTTCTCTACAAACATCACTAATTTGTGTTATGCATAGGGAAACAAGTAGAATTCTTTTGTGGAGTGAAACAAACAAACAAATCCTTCAGAAGAAAATGGCAATGCATGATAATGACAATCATTTCTCTGCCATTATCAAAAAAAAACATGCATCCACAGAGACACTAGGAACTGAATTTGACTTGAAGGAGATTTACTTATACCATTTTATTTCAAATGCATGTATAGTCAATAATTTTAATCTCCCACTACACACACACTTCCCAACCAAAACTGTTGTTTCTTTTTTCCCTGTGGAGCAAACATTTTATGGAAACAAGTTTAATGAAAGATAAGGCAAGGATTGAACTTTCACTATCTTGCTTAATTACACAACATAGTTCTGAGAATCAAACTTCCTATAGGTTCTTCATTCTTGTTTTATGAGGGAAAATGGATTGATTTTTTTCAAACTTTTATTGTTCATCTCCCATATTCTTTCATCCTTACTTGTAGTTTCTCTCCCTCATTCTATCAAAGACTATTTCTTAGGAATAGCAAATGAGCTAATAAAGTGTTAAGTGAGAGAATGTGGACAAAAACTAAAAGCATGCTTGGGAAAAGGTGATTATTTTCATTGAATTGAAAGCATTATACAAAAAAAAGCATTCAGTTGCATTAATCTCTTCTTTCACTGAAACATAAGTTTATTTGATCCGATAAGTTGTTCAGGTGAGCTGGATCAAATTCCTCTTGACATGAATATGACACTTGTATGTAGTATCTAGCATAATTAACTATCAATAAAATTCAGAATGTGATTCCTAATTATATTTGCAATTAAACTGAACAAGGTAAATATCTGGTATTGTTAAATTTTTAGCTTTAGTTATAAAATGTCAGTGTTATGCCTTAAGTTTACTTTCTTTGGATCTCTTGAAATTTATTTTTATATATTCTGTTTAGGAGCAGCTGCATGAGAAAATGATATATAGTAGATGCATTAAAGTGTTGTCAGTAGGAGTTATCTGTGCATCTTCCTGTCCGTCAAATCCCTTGTTATGGTTTGATTTTGGATCACTGCCCAATTCTATTAGCTTTTTCTATTAACGAACCATGTAAATAGGTCTGGGAAAAGTTTATATTCTGTTCTGTCATACTGAGATAAATGGGCTTTGAAATATCTTCATCCTTCTTATTCCCTTCACTCTTTTTAAAAGTAAAAACAAACACTTTGCAGCCATTCTTGTCCTCTTTGTAGATTTTTCTAGATTTCACAGGTAGTCCTTGGGTTGCACCCATTTATTCAAAATTATGATGGCACTGAAAAAATTGACTTATTACTGTTCTTTGAAGTTCCAGCCATCACAGTATCCCTAGAGTTGCATAATAAAATTTTGAGGGCGTGGTGACCAGTTCACACTTATGATCTCCATGCTGCCCACCACCCCCAGTTAACTTTTGTCATCTTTTTACTTGCTTCTACTCTGCCAAGGCTCGCCAATCCTGGCTAGCCTCAAGCCCCGCATCATTTGTTGGCCATGCTGTGCACGGTGCCTTCACCACCGCCTCCACTTGCAACTGACATGCTGTGTGAGAAGCCATTGGCTAAAGCAACTATCAGGAATTTCCTGGTAGATACTGTGGAAACATCATTGTGGGATGTTTGCCTTGCAGCTGTCAGTGCAGTACGGTGGGGAGGACTTTTAGCCCCTTCCTGGTAGAGCAGCAGCACCCATCTCTGTTCCCTAGCACCTGCCCCAGCACCTATCCCTTCCCCTTGCTGCTTAGTAGCCTCACACTTGTCGTTCGCACCTACAGCTTTCACCCACTGGTCTGATTACCTGAGATTCCTGCCTCTTCCTACATGGTGTTCCCATGAGGTCCTCATTTAATGGCCTGCACTGTCCTGGGTTATGACAGCAACTGGGATTGTTGGAATTGCCATCACTACATGATTGTACTTTATGACTGCATGGCCTACTGATGGAAGTTCCAGTCCCAATTGCCATCATAACACGAGGACTATCTGTGTTACAATATGGTCAGAATGCATATACTGTGTGTTAACTGGTATATCTTCTTCCATTATGTGTATACCATGTTAAGAACTACAGAATTGATATCAACAGTTGATGAACTATTTTTGTTAAGTTTTTTTATAAAATAAAAATAGAAAAAAAACCCAAACATTAGAAAACAAAGAGAAAGAAAGAAAAGAAAGAAGAAAATGCAAGGAGAAAGAGCAAAATCTGGTGACTTCTGATATTTTTTCAGTGCAGTAAAAACAAAAAGTAAATACAACTTCAACCTCTTGCTTTGCATTTTACAACCTTTTTTGAAATGAACATTTTTTCTATTTCAGTCAAAAGATAAAATGATGCGAGGATCACGCAGAGGCTGTGTTAGACTAAGGGTAAGTATTTCTTGGATAGATATTTGTGGGCTAGAAACTTGAGATGACTTATGTGCTTATTTCTATGTTTTTAAAAAAAAATATAAATAAATCAACTTTACATTTCTTTTATATGCTACTAAAACTCATGTGTTTGTTTGTACTTTCAAGTTAGGCCAAACAGTGCATTATACTGGAACAATTTTTGAATCGATTTATCTAAAATCTGTTAACTTAAATAATGTGTAAAAAATCCAGGACCCATTACTCCTATGGAATTGAAATTTCCACAATTTTAGACTAGTTTTATTTCCAAAGTTGTTGGCTGTTGCAGCATCCCTTTGGTCATGTGATTGTGATTGCTGATGCTGCCTTCAGGCCTCCCACAAAGGAAGTCAGTGGGGAAGTCAACAGGAAATTAGAAGTTGGTCTTATTTCCAGTTTTTTTGCCTGCTTGTGGTCATTCCATTTAGCTGTTTCAGTAAGAAAATATTGCCTTATTATTGAAGTTCATTTCCTACTACAATTATTTTTCTATTTATGATTCTCAGATGATCATGGAACTACTCAGCATTGGGGTGAAAAAAATGTGGTCAACCTAAATTTATCGTTCATTCTGGTCACATCAAACTTCATTTACCTTTCGGTCAAAAAATAACCCAATGTGTCACTGGGTTGTCAAGTTTAATATAAATACATATAATTACTCAGTCATAGAGTATTTGTAGTCTGTATGATTATATGGAGCAAGTTTCAAGAGTACCCATGGCCAATCTGCTGAGCTTTCAAATAAAGCAAAAACATGTCCAGTTCGCTTTGTCTGAAATTTTTGGATTACTACTTGAAAATTGTTTTTGTTTCTATTTCTGAGAAATAGAATGTCCATTCTATCTATGATAATACAAACAGTAACGGCGAAAGTTCCTACATTATTGGGAGAAAGTTATGGTAGTATATGATATTCCTGTAATATAATAATCCTGTTGTTCTTGTTTTGGGTAGACTGTGAAGTTAAGGTCTATACAGAAATCAGAAGATAGGTGATGAGGGAGAAAATTGCTACAGTTATTTTCATACTTTGCCTAAATGATATTGAACAGAATTTGATTTTTAAAAAATATGTCAATAAATATAAATTGGCAATTATATATTTTCTTACCTAGTAGTAAGTTTCCCTAAATTCAGTGTTATATTTTTCTGACAAGAAATGCATAATGTTTCTGTGCATTTTCTTTGCAGTGTTATATGGCATGTTGATTGGACAAAATAGAATCAGAGTTTCTTTTTCCAATTTTGAATTTTTAACCCTTAATGTATAATTGTCTAAATGTTTACAAATATTTTTTATTTGTATTTATATTCTACCTTCCCTCCAGAAGCTAAAGGGCTTATTTTTAAAACAACCTGATGAAACAGACTTACCTCAGAGAGAGTTGGCTAAATGGAGCACATTGCTGGTTCACCTCAGATAGAAAAATGTCTTGGACTAATCGTACTGAGCAATGTCAGCTTTCTGTGATTCAGTTTGGCTGTTCAGCTTGAATCTGGGTGTGACTGGATTGTTTTAACAATGGTTTGTTAAATAAACCACATTTGGTTGGATCCATGTAAAACATGGCTTACAAATTAAGTATATTTATATAGCGAGCTATGTCACAATAACTATTGTGTTTTTGTGTAATGTCTGTGTCTTGTTCTGAAATGTGTGCATGTTTGAAGGAGGCTCTATGTATTTCTTCTCTAAGTGTACCCTGTATAACATATCAATTATATTAATTTTCTAGCACGGACAAGGTATTAATATTTTTCCAGAATCTTTCAGGACAGCACGAAACACAGTTCTCCCTAAAATATATAATTAAAGTACGCTAGTAACTTGTGTATGAAGCAGCTTTTTTTGAGAGTGTACATATGTATGATCACTTTTGAAGACATAGTTGTGAGTCTACTTTAAGGCCAACACCCATCAGAATTTTAATCAGGACTTAGAATTAAAATTTATTATGCATGTTACAACAGTTTTTCTTGTTTCTGTTTCTGTTAAAAACCAGTTGGAAAGTCTGTCCTTAAAATATTGGCATAAATTTTCAGTTCTGCCAATTCTTCTTACTTATCTCTAATATCATTGATAATTAACCATTGGAATTTTTGATTATACTTTCATCTTTCTGATTTCTTAAATCATCCAAATGATTTAATTTTAAATCCAAATCAAATCATTTAGATTTAATAAGGCATGGGGTAGAAAAAATGGTCAGAAGTGCAAAAGGACACTACTTTGGGAAATAAACCTATGACATGTGAGTTAGTTAAACAGTGTATTCGCCAAGAGGCCTATTTATTGACAATTAATACTGCCATACTGCACATATGTGTATTTGCCTCTGAACTAAGTAATTGGTGTTTCTATATGTAGTCCCTTTGCAGGTATATTTACTAGACACTGCATCTATAGTCATTTATTCAAAGTATGCTTGTAAGTTCAAAAAAAAAATCAAAATGAACCATTTCCTGAGACATATTAGTAGGGCAAGAAAATACTAATCACTAAGAGAATTTTACTTATTTTAATGTAACAAAAATATAGTAATCTGTCAAAAAGCATAGCTTCTCTTATACTTTTTCTTGTTCTAATATTGATTTGTCGTTCTTTGAAGGTGGCTGTATCTTTAAGAATCTAAGAGCTGTTTAAAATAATGATTATACTATATTTAATAATTGAATAGAATGAGGAGCTTCCAGACTGCTAGGGCAACCCATTTGACCCACTGGCCTTTGTCAAAGAGTCTTCTCTCCGTGCAAAAATGTGTAATCATTTACAAAAAAATAATTAAAATTAATTCACATCATGAAATGCTAACTTCATTTATGAAGATCCCAGAAATAATGGTGTTGAATGAGTTATAGTTACAACCAGTCCTCAAAGTTATGGTCATTGTTGTGCCACCACCATGATCATGTGATTGTAGTTTGGGCTGCAACCAGCTTATATTTATGATAGTTGCAATGTCCCTTAGTCATATGATTGCAGTTTGTAATCTCAGCTGACTTCTCACCAGAAAAAATCAATGGGGAAACTAGCAGAGAAAGGTCACAGTTCGCTGTGGTTAATCAGCTCCAGTCTTCCCATGCACAGTGTCAAATACCCTCCTTACTGGACATTGTTGTTATCTTTTCCTTGGATTTCTTGCACTTGCATGGACCTACATCCTCCCTCCCTTAGTCTCCCTGCACTGTGTTATGCTCTCTTTCCCTTAGAGCTCCTAGTCTCACACCCTGCTGTCACCCCTCAGGTTCTTTAAATTTATACTTATCAAGAACTTAATATAGGTAGTCCTTGACTTACAACACTTCATTTAGTGACCGTTCAAAGTTACAATGGCATTGAAAAAAGCAACTTATGATCGTTGCAGCATCCTCATAATCATGTGGTCAAAATTCAGACACTTGGCAATTGGTTCATATTTATGACCGTTGCTGTGTCCCAAAGTCACATGACCCACTTTAATGACCTTCTGACTGGCAAAGTCAATGGGGAATCCAGACTCACTTAACATCCAGGTTACTAACTTATCAATTGCAGTGATTCAGTTAACAACGGTGGCAAGAAAGGTAGCAAAATGGGGCCAAAATCATTTAACAAATATTTCACTTAACAACATAAATTTTGGGCTCCGTTGTGGTTGTAAGCCAAGGACTACCTGTAATGACATTTATTAGTTACAGAAAGTAAAAGGTAAATCTAAAGAAAAAAGATAGAAGAAAAAGATGCAAGAAAAGAAAAAAGAAAACAAGTTGTGAATTTACAATGACTTCTCACTGTCTCTTCAACTGATACTGATAAACCTATTTTCCTTCCTTCCTCTTATCTTTTCCAGAAATCCTTTTAACCCCACATTAAATTCTCATCTTTTTCAGTCATAAAATCCAGAAATCATTACTTCACTTTTTAGCAAAAGTCCATAAAAGGTTTCCAGCCTTTTATAAAAGGTTGTCTTTTTTTCTCCCTGGCCAAACAGTACAGTTTTGCCACTTCCACTAAAGATCTATTTGTCCTTTGTATGTTAAATACTTTGTGCATAGAATAACCTTGCTATTATTACAATTTGTAAAATTAATCTTCCATGGGTGTTTCCTAATTCAGTACCCATAAGTCCCAATAAAATATTAACGTTTATACATTTTTGCAATAATACATTCATCATTTGTACATTACTCATTTTCAGATTCCATTTTATGTTTCTCAGTTCTAATTAGCCTTTTAATATTAAATATTTCTTTTGTGTGTATGAAAACTATGATCTTCTGCGGTCAATTGTTTGCTTTACTTCATTTTAAAGTCTTCATCTTCCTGTATTAATAAATCCTCTGTCCTCTGTTCCTCTTCTATAAAATGTTTCCTGTGCTAAGACCAATAAAGTTATTTTTGGACACAGCTGGGATTTGTATTTGTTCCATACATTTAGTACAGCATCTCATACAGTGATTTTTAAAATCAACATTGACTTTAACGTAGCATAAAAATCTATGCCAACCACACCTCAAGTTAGTCTTTCCAATTCTAATATAACCCTCAATTTTCTCTTTTGTTAGCTAAATAGAATCTAGTTTAACCAGTTCTTGACAGGTCACTTTGTTAATGTTTTGTTTTTGTTTTTTGAACTGGGAGCCTGAAACATATAGTATAATTTTCAGTGAGACTTTGCCCTTAGTAGAATGTGACAGTTATCTCGTTTGATCTCCACTTTATGATCCTTTTAATATACCCTAAAGTGTTTGCCTTTTTACCGGCTTGGGTATCAGCTTGGATTCAGTCTGTGATCTAGTAAAACAGCTAGAATCTTTCCACATACTACTACTCCCTCATCCTGTACAGGTAGTCCTCAACTTACAGTCACAATTGAGCCCAAAATTTCTGATGCTAAGTGAGACATTTGTTAAAACAGTTTTATCCCACTTTATGACCTTTCTTGCCACAGTTGTTAAGTGAATCATTGCACTTGTTAAATTAATAACATGGTTGTTAAGTGAATCTGGCTTCTCTATTGACTTTGCTTGTCAGAAGGTTATAAAAGGTTATCACATGACTCTGGGACACCGCAACCGGCATAAATATGAGTCGGTTGCTAAGCGTCTGAATTTTGATCACATGACCATGGGGATGCTGTAATTGTCGTGTTATAAGTTACTTTGTTTAGTGCTATTGTCACTTTGAAAGGCCACTAAACGAACTGTTGTAAGTCGAGGACTACCTGTATTTGTGCTATTAATTTTTTCCTATCTAGATCACTGCTATTAAATTTCACCCTGTTAATTTTGATCCACTGGTTGTGCATGTGATCATCATTTGATCATCATTTCAGTCCACTTAACAAAGTGCATAACCAAAAAATAGGTTATTTATTGTGGTTTCTGGACTACTATTCTTCTAGCATGACAGGAACACAGCAAGTGCAATATCTGGTCAAAATGCAGTCCATTTAGGTAGCCTACAATAGCCCACCCCACCATACAGCTCCCAGCATTCTTTTTCTTGCCATGCCCACTGCATTTTGTTTCAACCTGCATTAGTCTCCCTCTGTTTGTCTCTATTCTCCTTTTCCCTTCTTTCTTGTCTTCAAATGTTCCCCCTTATGTGTCTTCCTACATATTCATCCCTCTCTTTAGTTCACTTAATCTTTCCACACTGTTAATTCTTTTCCATGACTTTCCTTCACTGTTTTTCCCCAACACCTCTCTGATCTTAATCTTTCTCTCCAGTCTTCTTGTGCTGCAGTCCCCTTGCCTGCCTCAACTTTCCAGTCTAATTGTGTTGCCATTTAGAAAATAAAACAGCATTATAATTAAGTTATATGGAATCCAAATAACTATGCAGTTGCAGACTCAAACTAATTGCAATAATAGATTGAAAACAATAGAATAAGACGTATTTAAGCATACCATTTAAATTATATATTGTATGAAATTATAATTTTTTGAAGGACCCTAATTCTCATATATGTGAACTACTTGAGTTTATAAGAATACTCAAACCCATGTTTGGATTTGAGGATGCCTAGGTTACTTTAGTCTAAGCTTAATGTGGAAAAGTAATTTATTTTTTTAGTTTGTGATTTCCTGCCATAAAATCCCTATCCTTTCAGTTTTGAAATAAAATGCTGCAGTGTCATATTTGAAAAGCTACAATATATAATCTGCATAAAGTACAATTAGTCTAACAAACATTGTTTAATTTTTAGAAACTGAATCAGTAAGCCTTAAAAAATTCGTCTGAATTTTGCATTCTAGTCTTGTAGAAATAGACTGCATGCTGCTGTGATGTCACTGCTTTGCTTATCAGGATTTTTGCTCTTTGTTTCACAGGGAGCTGTGATTGGTATAGATGATGAAGACGACAGCACCTTCACAATAACTGTTGATCAGAAAACCTTCCATTTCCAGGGTGAGCTGAAAGAAAAGCTCCTTATTACATTAATTCAATCACAGAAAATGTTCGGATGTTTAATTAATAGAGTAATTTAAAAAACTGTAGAAATTGAAGTGCTTGGAAATGTACAGAGAACATTCTGGACTCAGGAGCACTATGGGTTAGGCAGGGATTTATATCTGCAGTGTATACATATGTGCTGGAAAAAACTAGCATTGGCAGCATGTGCAGATTAAAAATTTAAAGGCTGTATTAGTAAAGGGGGAAAGAATAATGGGTTTTTGTTGATGGGTATTCTTGCAACAACAAAAAAAAGAAAGAAAGAAAAGAAAGAAAGCACCACCGGTCTTTAATATCAAGAACTGCTGTTGTGCTTTCTGCACAGAGAGAGCCACAAAGACCATGTAAGGTTGCAGCTTTTGTTGATATAGAATCTAAATGGGAGATGAGAGGGAACATTTGATTTAAAGGTGGACTTCTGACTCAGGATTTACATGCTCTCATTTATTTCATCCATATTTCATTGCTGTTGTCAACCAATCACCATTCTGCTGCCATTTACCTTTTTATTCATATTTACTAATTCCAATGCCATCTGTTACTGCTATGTTTCGTCATTGCATGCTATGGTTGACAAGTAGAAAGGGTAAGGTGCTGTGTTTTTTATTTGTACTTTATATAATCTGCAAAATAAATGTTTGTAGCTACTGGTTTAAGATATAAATGTTATATAATGTTACCATTTCTAAGCTTGCTGATTTACTTTAAATCATAATTGTTTTCTCTGTTTGCTAAATTTTTGTTTTTAATTCTCGGTAACCTGTAAATTATTTCCTTATGAGTAAGCATTTATTTATTTTAATTAAATTGATTCATTCTGCATTAAAATCTGTAGAATTTATAGTAGAATATCTTTGTTTTATCTTTGTATAGAAAATTCTAATCTTTATCAACATTCATGAAGTACCTATAAAGATAAATTCTATGTCATATATAATTTGTATTCTCAATGACTTGGCTAACCTATAGCTTTTTTGGGGGGGGGGGAATTACATTAAACACTGCACAATAGAAAATTTTGCATTACAAGTTTGCAGTATTACTATGTAATGTATATTTATCTCACAGTTTTAGAATTTCTGCATAAAACTACAAAACATAGCAGAATACAAGTTTTTAACCTCATTTTTTGGAGCAGAAAAATTGTTAATGCTAATAATCTATACTCTTTGGAAGGCATTAGCTCTGTTGCAGAGCTTGATGAATGTCGTTTTCTACTGCAGCTGTTAAAGGAACTGCAGTTCTACAGTTTTTGTTACCTGCAGAGAGGAAATTATCTTGAGAGATAAGGTGATTAAAAACAAAATAAAGTAATGTTATCTTTGAAATATCCACTAAAATTAATTATACTTGGATTTAACATTACTGTGATTTTACTGTTATATTAATATATAGCATGGGATGATGCTGCAATTTTTAAAACAAGGACTAAATATCTAGGAGATTCCTCTTATGTGGACCAATTACTTATGTATTAGTAGTAACACAGATGCTATTATCTGTGGCCTATTATCAACTTAAGAATGATAAAATACAATTGTACTTTTAAAAAGTTCTAGCTGTGTTTTAACATACAAACATATGTGGTACATTTGTATTATGAAATGCAAAGTTTTTTTCTTACATTTGGTTCACTTTACCATATTCTAGAGAAATGAAATTACATCTTCACATTCTAAGAGCTGATTCATCTTGTTAATTTTAGAATTTATCTAATTATATCTTCAGAAATATATTGATATACATGCTATATACAGTTCAATATGAGCATTTCCTATACCTATAGATCAATACGAAGAACCTCTTTGGGGCAGAAATGTTGAATGGCTAACTGGGTATGGGCGTTGGGATACAGCTCTGTGGATGAAAGGCTGGGCTTACATTTTGACAGTGATGGGCAGAGAGAATACCGGGTAGGCCATTGAAGGAAATGAGGAACTTGTACATTAGCACAGGTTCCTTCTTCTATCCCAGTAAATGGTAGTCAGATTATTCAGTGATTAAACCCAGGCCAGTGCTAGTAAATTCCAGGTGTGTACATAATAAAACTGTATCCATCTATGCTTCAATGATATGAGCATGTAGATTCTAGTAATATGATTTGGTTAAGCACTAATGAGGAAGTTTTGCTCTTGCGAGTTTCAGGTTCTTTATGAACCATTATACCAAGGGCAGGGAAGATATGTGGCCACAACAATTTAAGAAATCTAGGGAATGAACAGTACTGCCCTGGTACTAGCTAGATGCAAGTCACATTATGCAAGATTGAGGCTGAGGCTGTAGACAGGGTACAGGTACAGTATTCTTTATTGAAGGAATGGGTTTGTGGTTCCTTTTTGACTCAGCATCTGGTGGAGGAAGCTATGGCCAAGCAGACCTTTGGCTGGTGTTGGTTGGTGCACAAATTATAGCCCTGCTTGGAGGAAGAGGCATTGGCAACAGTGACCTTCATTACAGACTTAAATCAACACAGCATATTACATGGAGCTGCTAGATTGTTGGTGGGTAGAACATCTTATTTTTTGATTCCTGTATTTAGTTCCAATTTAAATAAAAGAGTATAACCTATAAAGCTTTATAAAGTATAGTGCCAGGTTACAACAAGGACTGCCTATTAGACTGTCAAGAGGGACCCCATTAAGGATAGCATGTATGAAAGGAGGTTTGAACTAAAAGACAAGATGCTTTAGTTGTTATAGTTTAGTTGTGAAACATGTTGACTCTGCAAACGCTTTTGGCCACTTTTCTTCTGGTTTTTAGAAAACTTTAGGAAACTTTTTCAGGGGACCCTTCATAAAATACATCATTTTTTTCCCATTGATGTCATTGTATGGTAGGATTGTTGTTGAAATTCTTCTAACTCATCCACAGTTAGGGATTGGTGCAGTAAAAAAATTACATAAATTTCACACTTCAGGTGTTATACAAAGCTCTTTCTACATTAGATAAAACAATCAAATCTATAGAATAAAAAAAATCTGAGATAGCTATGAACTATTGGTAAGCAGATATTTTTTTAAACATTTGTTCCATTTGGTTAGAAAGTGAGGTAGAAAGGTTTACTGAAATCATATGACAAATTACAGATTTTGAAATATTTTAATGTAATATATGATGTATAAACACTAGGCAGAATTCAACTTCCAGTACTCTGTGTTTTTTTGAATTCTTTGGGAATCAGAGAAAGCAGAACTACTGCCATTCATATTATAATGAATCAATCCTAAGAATAAACTAGGAATACTAGATGCTTCATAATCAGTATAAAAATGAAAGCCAGAATAATGAATTGTTTTCAACATTTTATTTAAGAGAAAATGCTTAAGTAATGAAATATACAAGGGGTATATAGATATTTTAAAAATGTACTATCCAACTGCCAAAACTATGTGGATAGGGGGAAAAACCCCTCTATAAGCACTAATACAAGAGAGGATAAAATAATTAAAAGTAGGAAAGGTTCTAAATAAAGATTTTATTTTAAACACTGTAAAACATTTGAGGAAGTAGTCCCAATAATAAACAGATTACAATACTCACAAAATTTATGAGGACAGTATCTACTTAATTTTGAAATCAAGCAAAGATGCCCTTAGGTGCAACAATTATAGCCCTATTTCATTAAATATGACTGTACACTTGAGGCACCTTTGGCTGCTGATTTACTTAGCACAGGTGGGTTTTGTTCTCAAGAGACAGAACAGTTCCTTTATACATTCTGGTAAACACTGCAAAAGCATGGCAGTGCCTTTCCTGTGCATAGTCCTTTATCTGAACCTAAAGAGTCTTTGATAAATCCTCACTGAATATATGTGCACCAGGTTCTGGAGAATGTGGGAAAGAGATAGTTCAAGTTCATTCTCAGTGATGGGAATTTACTGTGAGTAAATTATTTTCTCTCAGCGCAACCTATTTCAGAGGACTGCTGTTATAGCGATAAAAGGGAGCATCCCAGGTAAGCTACCTTCAATTATTGGAAGTGAGCCAGGCTCTTAAATAAATAAATGGCCCTGCCCACTCATTCTATAAATTGCTTCAAAGTTTTGCATTGAGACTCTGAAAAGAAGTAACCAATGGATTCCATTGTCAGCCATTGTAATCAAGAACTCAAAGTGGCTAATAAGAATAATGAACAGAAGGTCTGTTGGACTTTGTCTTAAAAGAGATAATAAGACAAATTGTAAAACTTGACCTATGAGTGCATATAAAATGTGTTACTCAGAAAACACCAGCCTTGTGTCTTCCCTTGTGCTTTCTCTTTTCATCCCTTCTCATTATCTTTAGTCTCTTGTGTATTTGTGCTGTTTGTTCTTGTACCTGTAACTGAAATATATATTGTAAAATCAGTGCTTGTTCCTGATAACAAGTGCAGTTACTGTTGATGGTGCAGGTGAAATAATTTTCTGTAGCTGGATATAGATTGGTAATTTTTTCCCATATTCAAAATAAAATGTTTAAACCAATGATCTTAAAATAACTTTAGTTACTCAGTTATAAATTCCTATCATGCTATTTAATAGGAGCCTATACCTAAGTGTTTTCAACTTGTTTGTTCTTGAAGAAGTATGAGTGACTTTGTATTCACTTCTAGAATATAGGTTGCACTGATAGTCTTTTACCATACTAGTCAGCTGAAAGATGTAATCATTTTTTTGTTTTGTTCAGATCTTTTAGTCATTATTCATGTCTGTATATTACTGAATATCTTACAATAGTATTACATAGTGTTGTATATTCATATCTATTGCCTGGGAAAGTGTTATGAAATTTACTAATATATGTAGTTTGCCATGGAGATTGCTTAATTTCTAGAAAAAAAAATACTATTGCTGTAGTATCTACACCAGATTTCTTCTGTATATGAGGCATGCTTCAATATTTATCTTAAATTATATAGTAACCAAAATCTGGTATGACACCAAGCTATTCCTGTAACTGTCTTTTAATCCAGTTCTAGTAATAACTCTTGATAACAGTAGCATAGATACATATGTTGATAACTGTCAGCGAGTTTTGTCTGGGAATATTTGAAAGTGTTAAAATTGTTTCATGTAGGGTTAATAATTATGGAAAAATGCAAAGGGAAAATGAGGAGCTTCTTTGTTTTAATTTTATATCAATTATCATTAAACCTTTAGATCAAACTATTATGTTTCTATTTGATTTAAAATATATATACACTCAGAATGTTTTATTTTTAGACTGGTAAGCAACAGGAAAAGCATGTGGTAAATTAATTATGTTCAGCATAAACAAATCTGAGACTATACAGTTATGAACTGTACTGGTTATTAAAATTTGGGAATCCAAAAAGTAAAATTGATTAAAATACCCTCTGGAAAGAATAATCAGTGTTACAATCAGGAATGATGATACTATTGTAATTAATGCAGTTGTTTTCCTCTTTCATTATTAAATTAATAAGACTTTTTAAAATCAAGGCGGACCATGTGAATTCCATTGGATATAATAATATATAAGGACATGATTTTAAAAATACAGACATAAAGGGATCTAAGGCTGAATAATTCATACCTTCTCCAGATTTTGAATGCATTGAGGCTTCTGGGTAAATGTTTTAGATTGCATCATTAGAAAGGTAAAATATTTTATATAAGTCTTATTGCTGCTAATATCAAGAATGATGATGAAGACCATCTGGAAACTGCAGATAATCCAGAATGTAGTAGCAGTTTTGTGTACCCCAGGGTTCACTCAAGTAACACTATTGCTGCATGAGCAACTCTGGCTTCCAGTTGCTTTTTGGATACAATTGACGATGCTAGTTACTTTTTTAAAAGCTGTTCATAACATAGAGCTGAGTTGCTTGTGGGACTACCTATCCCTGAGGGTATCTGTCCATCCTACTAGGTTAGATGGGAGGGATGTTAAATGTTACCTGATAGGACCTTAGAGGTGCGACTTCTCAGTAGCTGCCCCAGCCTTTTGAAACAGCTCCCATCTGAGATTCAACAGATCCATAACATTTTAGCCTTCCAGAGGGTTGTGAAGATCTGACTTTCCCCAAGTGGAAGTGAGGACTAGGATGAGGAAGGTTGATTTGGACTCTGAGGGAGGGTACTTTTATTCTTAACTGTTGTTTATGGATTGTTGAGCCGTTTGGATCCATCATATGAGCCATGTAAGTCCTGTAAATGTGACATGTGGCCATGTAAAGTCCTGTAAATACATAAATATCAGAACAGATACTTCTCTTGAATAAATAGATTAGAAGCAATGTAAATCTGAAATTTGAAATTTGTTTATAGCAGATCTTTTCTATTTGGTTAATGTTATTGAAATCTGATACAATACTTTATCTTTCCATGTAGAGACCTCACAACAATCTTTTTTGTCTGCCTTATAAAATGTAATATTTTATTAATCCATAATCTCTTTGAATTTGAGAAATAATGGATACATTCAACAAAATACTAATCCAGTATAAGAACATCAACATCTGAAAAACATTGCCCTGCTTCCTTCCTTGGAGTTAGCATAAACAACAGATGAGGGAATATGGGAGGGGTGTTATAAGGAGGCAAGTGTGTTATTGGCAGCACTTCAGTGAAACTGGGCTGCTGTAGAGGAGTGTGGAGATAGCCTTGAAGAAAATGTACAGCATCTATTACAAAAATTATTAGTTTAGCCCTGAAAGGAATAACAAAGAAACTCAGGTTAGCTTACCTTGATGCTCTTAGGTATAAGAGGGAGGGAAAGAAAGGCTTTTAAGATTCTAGTATTATACCATAACAAAATAAATGTTTTGATGATTAGAAAAAATAAGCTATAAAAAGAAGGGAATTATGATATAATTTTAAAAGAAGTTTGATTAGAATTATATGTCAAACTGACAAAAGATCAGAAGCCATACATATATTTATTTTCTTTTTTTCTGGCTCCTTTTTCTTTTTCACGTTAATTTTACTATATTTTTCTTTAAATGTTTTTTATTATATATGTAAAATCTTTTGATAAAAACTATTTTTTCTAAAAAACTAGAAATGTAGTTCTTATGGCTGTTTCCTAATGTAGCCTACTTCAAATGGCTAACAATTATAACCAATTATAACATGCTTTGTGTGCGGGTAGCCATGATAACAGCAAACTAAAGATAAGCACAATTTTGTTAGTGCAACTTTATAATAAAGTAGAATTGGTTTATCTTGTCATGTTTCCTGTATGGCCTACCTGGTGAGGTTGACAGTATCTTTCAGCTAGGGTAGCTGAGTTGGAATGTAAGCCCAGTGCTATATAGCAGACCCTACATTTTTGTTTATTTTGTTGTGATCTTGATTTTAGGAATTAATATTTGTAGTGGACTATTGTAATTATGTTACCTATTTGGTTAATCAGAGTATAAAGAAACTTTGCCCTGTGATTTAGGTTACTGTTAATAAGGTTCATTATATTGTTCCTGACATTTTAAAAACAAATCTATTTAATCAGAAGCATATTTTATTTTGTGTCTCGTTTATGCTATTGTTTCCGGATCTGCAATATTTCTGAACTTGAAAGACTCATGTTCAAACAGAATGAGGCTGGTTCCTACCAATTAGCCTTATTGTAAAAAATGTAAATCTGTTCCCAGAAATGGAAAACATTCAATAAAAAAAGAAATAATTCATGATACTGACATTTAGCCTTGTTGCTTTATTTATTAATCAAACATTATTTATTAATAAAATTTGTATAGCAGCCCATCCTGTAAAAAGTTATTCCAGGTGGTGTTTATTTACTGTTAAATTAAGGCCACAAGTACATTTTTAATATTCTTTCAGCTCGAGATGCTGATGAAAGAGAGAAATGGATTCATGCTTTAGAAGAAACCATCCTTCGTCATACTCTTCAGCTCCAGGTAAGTTCATTTGCATTCTGCTTTAAAATTATAAAATGGTTAAGAGTATTTGCTCAAATGAATTCATAAAAATTGATGAATACATTCCAAAGTATATTTAGATGAATACAGCTTTCTCTTGCAAATACAGTATATCAGTATTAATTATAAAATCAAAGCATTAAAAATGTTTCAAACAGAAAGCATTTCAGCTGAATTAATAAATTTTGAAATAGCACTGTATTGCCAGTATACAGATAGAAACTGTTCTTTTAAAATCTGAAAAATTAGGAACATTGATTGAAAATATTTTCAAATAAGTCTTATTCAGTATCTTTTCAGCAACAGGCTTGCGGTTATAATTTGTATTTTTGTTGAATTGTTTTATATATTCATCCATAGCTGCATGTCAGGTTTGGAGACACGAAGTGCAAATTTTCTACACTGAAATAAAGAACAGCTATATAAATCCATTGACTAAAATAATAGTAATACTATTGTAAGTTTCCTGGTTTTTTGTTTTTTTTTTTGGTTTTTAAAAAATTCAAAACAAAACCAAAAAGCCAAATATTTCTTCTTCAGTGCAAGTATCTTTGTTGTTTGGATACTTGCAAATGGAACTTAAGCAAAATTCTAAACAAGTTTTAAGGAAAAAGCTTGAGTGTGTCTATTTTTAGTAAAAAGACGACTATCATGGTAATTACAGTATGTCTTATACATCTAGGTTTCTTCCTCATATAAACATCTGCAGGCAAAGCTTTTTGCCAAAATCAGCCTTAGATGTTAAATTGTGTTTTTATCAGTCCAGCAAAAACAAAAGAAAAAAGCAAAAAATAAAATCCAACATTGAAATACATTAAAACATGACTAAGACTTTTAAATTTTATCATTTGAATTAATGTATTTCAACTCTGAAATACTCTTTCATATTACAAAGTGAAGAGTTCTTTTCAAGGTCATTAATTTTAAACTATAACATTTTCACTTTGGGCTTAGTGTGACTGAGTGAAAAAGTGTTCCACTGTGGAATATTTAAATGAAATTTACAATAATTTTCAAACAATAAATCTTTGTAAAAGCAATCTTAGATTTAGGTGGACAATTATGCAGTTTTATTTGAAAGTCTATCCAACTTAGACTATTCTATTTCTTTCTATCTTTTTGTTAACCTTATTGTCTCTCAGACGCAGAGATTCTATTAATTCTCACCACTGCAGGTCCTTTTGATCTCAGAGCAATTTTTCTTGGCTCTTAAGAGTGCAGCTAGGAGTATGTATGTATGTATGTATGTATGTATGTATGTATTTATGTCAATTGCTTACAAGTTAATAGGTATAAGTAAAAGCATAGTTATGAATACATGAATACATATAAGAAAAATAAAAATAAATAAAAGAAACAATAGGACAGGGACTGTAGGCAAGTTGGTGCGCTTATGCACACCCCCTACAGACCTCTTAGGAAAGGGGTGAGGTCAATAGTAGACAGTCTAAGGTTAAAGTTTTTGAGGTTTGGGGAAGAAACCATAGAGTCAGGTAGAGTATTCCAGACATTGGCCACGCTGTTGCTGAAGTCGTATTTCCTGCAGTCAAGTTTGGTGCGGTTAACCTTGAGTTTGTATCTATTGTTTGCTCTTGTGTTGTTATGGTTGAAGCTGAAGTATTCATTGACAGGTAGGACATTGCAATGTATGATTTTACATACTTATACTTAAGAATTGGAAAGCTCCCGGGTGAAATAAGGCACGCTCTTTTGATTCCTGTCAAATAAACACCAGGCAGTTTTTTTTTTTTACAACATTGTAAAAATGTTTAAATCTGCTTCATAGTGAGGGATTCTGTATGGCTAAGCTGAAACTTGCAGAGAAGGATGGGGAAATCGAACTCGGCGGACGATCGCTGCAGCCAATTGCAAGCATGTTGACGTATTGAAATAACTAAAATGGGGGCGGAGGAAATCTGAATGGATATGTGGCATCGTCAGCGCTGCGCGAGAAGTTCTGGCCAGATAAATGGGTTGTGAATGGCAGAGCCAGCAGTGCGGTAATTTGTCTTAATTCACTGCCAACAGAGTCCCCTTCCACACAGCGATGGCAGCCGCTCCACAGGAAAGCAAAGGAATGCTGCGATGCGTGTTGACTGTTTGTGTTTCCCTTCCGATTCTTCCGCGGGAAGGAGGATGGGTCAGGCTAAAGGACACCTGACCCCTAGCCAATCGGGTCCCTCTTGGCTTTAAGACCGTAACTCTGAACAGCGGGGGTTTGCGACGCGGCCACTCTACCGGGAGAGGCGGGGAGGGAAAAGGAGAGGAGGGAGATCTTTTAAGACCCTTTGTCGAGAGGCGTGAGCGGCCGTGAAAAGAATGGCTAGTGTGAGTAGGAAACAGATTTTGGGTAGCAACGTGCTGCAGTGGACAGGAAAGGAATGGAAACCTATTTGCTGGCCTTCTCGAGGAGCCCCCCGCCCCCACACGCTTAAGTTCGCAGTTTTCCCTGATCTCCAGTGTCTTGAGTAGTAGCACAGTTTTGAGAATGACCCACTTTGCGTTTTACGTCAGTTGATACGATCTCGTAAAAATAGGCGAGCAGGCAACCGACCCGGCGGATCATTTCCATGCAGTTCCGCGTTTTAACTAGTTCCGTTCAGTGTGAACCGTCGCTAAAATTGGATATTGGAAATGAGGGCATCGTTATGTTGAAGGTTCAGAATCAGTTGGCCTTTCACACTGGACTCTGGATGACTGATTGATTACTCCCGTTGCTGCTTCTGCTATTTAAATGGGTCTTTTGCTGGGTTTTAACATTTGATCAGTGAGGATCAAGCCATTAATACTGAAAGTTAGAGAGTTAATGTCAGGAAAATTTGACTTCCTTTATCTCATTTGCTGTATAGTTGACAGCAACATATTGATAGCTTTCAAATTGCAAATCAACCTGCAAAGTAGGCTTTTCTTAATAACACATGGTAAGACCAGCCTACTTGAGGATGAATTCTTTATATAGCCAAACCTATACAGAATGTGGAATTGCAAGAATAGTTTTTCTGTAAGCAGTGAGCCTGTCTGAAATGTCAAATTGTGAGCTCAGACAGTAGAAGCCACAATTGTGCAAGAATGTAATGATAGTGTATTTCTGGAGGAATTGGAAACATGCTTACAGGAAACAAAAAAAGCAATAAAGCATCCATAGTGCCATGTAATTTTTTATAAAGACTGCAAGTATTTACTACATTACCTTTATTTTTATACAGAAATTTGGGTACTGTTCACATCGAAGGATTCTTTTTTGTAGGAGAAAAACCTTTTCATTATGTATGGATAGTGCACAACCTTTAACAATTCCATTCACTCTTAATATTTAACTGGTCCAGCTGGTTGGTGATCTTAATTGAAGATTTGGTCAGCTTACAAAGCTAACCGGGTGACCTTGAAAAGCCCTAGGAATGAGGCAATGGTAAACCCCTTCTGAAAAACCTTGCTAAAAAAAACTACAAGTTTTAATCTAGGGCTAGACAATTGCCAGGAGCCAACACGGATTTGAAGACACATTAAAAATATATATATTAAAATTGTGTGATAAACTTAACATAAATTCTAAAATGATCTGAGAACTAGGTGAGTTGAAAACTCCTTCCTTATTAGTAACAAAAGAGACCTGTAGAAAATATCCAGTTGTAGACTTATCAGTGCAAGGCAAACTGTACAGGATTATAAAAATAAAGTTCTAAAATCTTAGAATTATTTAAAATCTCTAAACTTATAATTTATTGCTAATAGTTTGTTCCCTTTTTAAAAGCCTTGGTGGCCATAATTCTACAGAACATGAGGATTTTTGAATCCTATTAAATTTTAGATGACAAAAGCAGTAAAACAGTTAACTATATTACTTGCTGTTGAAATTTTCTTCCTAGACAGCCAAAAGTGTCTAACTTTACATCAGCTTTGAGAAGGATTTTTAAAACAGTAGGTTCTAAATGAGGTAATATCTTCTAATATTCATTCTTTTGAATTATGAATTCAAAATAACTTTATAGCTAGTATTGTGTTGGAAAATTAAAGAATTTGCTTCCTTGCATATTGGTAAACAAAAACAAATTATTATGCTTAATTTTGATTTTATATTATTTATAGGGTGTGGAGCCTGGATTTGTTCCAAGTGTCCAAGATTTTGATAAAAAACTTACAGAAGCTGATGCTTACTTACAAATTTTGATAGACCAATTGAAGGTATGTTAACTCTAATGACTGCATTATAGATGTAATTAATTTTTTTAGCAATTATATACTTTATTTTGTTCCTAAAATTCAGGAGTGTAATTCTTTTTGGGGATAATACCAGAAATGGGAACAACATACATTTTAGTTTGAATTTTGAATGTATTTTCTTGAAAAGCAAATAACCTTTCTAATCTGTTTCAAAATACAAAGATAGTATGTTGACAGTTCCTGCTTCAAGAGATTAGATCTAAGGAGCTTAGGTGGAAATTAGAATCTGCAGACTTTAAAAATATAGTCAAGTTCTAAGAACAGTAATATAAGCTTTGCTTAAGTAAGGATGTGCAAACCTTAATTTTATAATGCTTAATCAAAACTGAAAATCAGACAAAAATCTAAAATAATTCTCTATTTAAAGGTTGTGATTTCAGTGAATCTGGATGTTTAAGTGCAAGTAAATAAACTCTGATGTTGGATAATTTATGTAAACAATTTTGTCTATATGCCTTTTTTGCATTACATTGTGTGCATCACAGTTAATTTGTGATGCCATAGATATTTATTTTTTTTAGAATTTTTATCCTGCCTAATATTCCTTTCTCCTCCTATTTTCCCCACAACAACAATAATTATGTGAGGTGAATTGGGCCGAGAGTGACTGGTCATTAGTCATCCAGCCAGCTTTCATGCCTAGGATGGGTCTAGAACTTACGATCTTCCGTTTTCTAGCTGGATATCTTAATCCCTCAACCAAAATGGCTCTAGATTTCAAGTCTAAGTAGAATTGACTGTTATCAAGTGGCTCAGATATTTGATCTTGTAAATGAAGAAAATATTTGATAATGAGAAGAAGGCGGAGCCTCCTCGCTGACGCACCGTAGATCGCGACTCTCTGTGGCTATGGTCTCTGCTCTTTCGTTGGAGAGCCCGGATCATTACGATTAGGGACTGAAGCTGCCTTGGAGGGGCGGTGGAGTAAGGGGAACCTGCAAGCCAGGTTGAGGGGAGCCGCATCTCCCCTCCTGGGCTTGGTCTTTTTCCCCCCGAAGATGACTGCAGCAGTGGTTTAAAATGGCCACCCCGAAGAGGAGGACTCAGCTGGATTAAGATTTGTGCAGGAGGGAAGAAAGAGGTGGATAACATCTGAACCGGACAATTGGGCAATACAACTAAACAAAAGTACCCCGGGATTAAGGTAACATGGAATTTTTAAGAAAAGAAAAGTGAGCGGCAAAATTACAAAGGGATAGGAAAAAAAATAAGAAAATATTTTTGACAGCTAAGCGGGGCTTCGAACCAGGAAAGGAAGAAGCCGGAACTAAAGATTTAACTAAATTGGACTAAAATATTTTGGCAATAAACAGGCATAAAATAAAGCTGGACTTAAGATTGTCAAAAAATAATAATAGTAAAGTTTACAAATTGAAGACTGGACTGTGCTGGAATATTGAGGTTCGAAAAACCCTAAATAAAAAAATAGGGGAAAAAGGTGAAGACTTTGTATAATGGAGAGTGCCACCTTTTGACAAAAGCTTGAGCTCAAACAAAAGGGAAAGCATCATGTTTCTGAATGAACTTGTGTGGATATAACACTAAAGAAATATTGAAACAAAGTAAGAATCTTAGAAAGTGAAAGCAGAACCAGAATAAAGAAAAAAGCAAGGAAAGACTGACTGGGTTTGATTGATGTTTTTGGTATAGACCCTGGACTGGAATAATTGAGAACTTTAGAAAATTGAAAGAAGAAAGAAGGAAAGTAAACGTGTTTTTTTGTGGACTTTAACGATCATAAAATACAAGAGTGTGTAATGATGATCTCTGTTCAGGAATTAAAAATGGAACTTAAAAATATGAGAGAATTACTACAGGAAAGAGGCGAATCACTTTGTTCTGTGTTAGAAAAAATGGAAATGGCGATTGAAGAACAAGAAGAAAGAGCTTCAGAGGAGGAGTTGACTCAAGGAGAAGACATCTTAAATAGACAATTAACACAAAGAACGCTACAAAGAAGTGGGGAAAGAAGGAAGGTTAAAAAGTTGAGACTTAAGGCAATCAAAAGGGGGAATACCTGTGAAGTCGGGAAAGACAGAAAGACCCAGCAGAAAAGGAGAAAGGCAGATATTAAGAAAGAGAAGGATATAAAGTGGAATGAGAAAAGATATGGGGAAAAGAGGGGGAGGAGAAGCAGTAAGAAACAGGTGCATGAAATAAAGAAATACAGAAATAGTAAAATGTTGAAAAGAAATTGGTTTTTCAGAGATAATGGTTGATGAATTAAAAAGGGGATTCTGCAGGGTGACAAGGGGTAATAAGAATATTTCTGCAATTAAAAATATTTAGAAAATAGGGTAATATAGATACTGCTAACTCTTATTAAAAATTAAGGGGGGGAAATATACTGCGGAATCCAAATGAAAAGATGTAATGATTATTATTGTAACTTCTTAAAAATAATGGTTTATTGGGAATCAAGATGAGGGAATAAAGGTATATTTTAACCATTGAGGTGTCACACTCAAAGTAGTAAAAGGGGGGAAACCTATACTTGTTTTTTTTCTTTAGTGTTAAAACTTGTATTAATTTAGAATTTATAAAAATATGTAATGGAAAGGGAATATGACAGACTAAAGAACTAACTAAATAAGTTAATATAGACTATTAAAAGCAAGGAGAGACATTGGCAACCTTTATTATTATTATTATTATTATTATTATTATTATTATTATTATTATTATTATTATTAAAACACATATTGTTTATCTTTATTTTTAAAATAAATATTAAAGGATTATAATTGAAATGAAACAAAAAGATGTTTTGATTGAGATTAATGAAAGAGGCTAGAATTAATGTGTTTCTCTCCTTACTGAAAATTTGGAATGGAAAGGTATTAATAGAATTAAGTGTGCATATATGAATGTATAATTGCTGTCATATTTGTATGTAAAGGTGATGACCTGGAAATATGTTGTCCACTAAAAAGAGATTTTTGTTTTTATGTGAAAAACTGAATAAAATTTGTTTAAAAAAAAGAAAGAAAGAAAATATTTGATAATAAAAATAGAAGCAGTATATTTTATTTCTAAAGCAATGATTTTGAAGTGTTTTTAGCTTAACTTGACGATATGATTGTGTATCAATTGTAGGCAGGAGATCCGTTGGAGTGTTAAAAAAAGATCAAGATAATGGTTACAGTCAAAACCTTTATCATGGATGTGATATTGTTGTGCATACAAAAGAGGCAGAATTGTGGCATCCATCTTGATGTTTTTAAACATCCTGTGGATCCTCCTGTTTGTAGTATTATGCTGATTATTCACATATGGTTGTACTGTTGTGATCACAGTATATTCCTCTTCCAACCCCACCTACTATGATTGCTATTTACACTTTGCAATGAAACCAAATTAGTTTATGAACTAATGGGAAGCAACAGTTTGTTTTATACAGAACTATTATTAAAGTCACAGGTAATATGTATATTATTTTTGGTAAGACAGATTAAAAAATTAACTTACTCTACAGAAACTAATGTACTTTTAAAAGTGATTTGCTATCCTGTTGGAATTATTAAAGTTTTTCCCATATTTTTAATAATTTTCTTTTTTAGCTTTTGGATGAAAAACTTCAGAACTGCAGAGATGATGATCAGAGAAAAGCAAGTATACTTTTTATACAGATGACCTTAGAGTGTATGTTTCTAAGATACAACTTTACTGGTCTTTTTATGTATAGGTAATGAATATTATATATGCTTGTTTATACCTATATACCCATATCTATAGCAGGTGCAGAGAAAATAGTGACAGAATAATAAGAAAGGATATATTTAATTCAAATAAAATAATCACTTCTATGGATTTACATCTGATCTTTGATCACTATGACAAACAGGAGTGGTCCTCCCTCTAGTTTTCTGCCACAGTTCTTCAGCAAGGTCATTAAAAAGGTTAATATGTATTACTTTCTGTGCAGCCCAGAAAGAACCATCACTATATGGATAGAGAATTCCCATTAGATGCATTTGAGTATACTTCAGAATTATTATCCAATATGGACAGAGAGCAGTTGGCTGAGGATTATGTGAATTATAGATCAAATCATTGCCAGAGTGCAGACAGGGAAAGACTGTCTTATAGAGCAGCGGTTGCCAACCGGTGGGCCGTGAGAAAATTTTGGTGGGCCGCGGAGAAATCTCACCCCGAGAGCACCCCCCCAAAGCAATTAATCCAGGCTGCGCAGAAACACAAGGCTGCGCCACCCACATGGCCCGTGGGAACCCCGCCCACCCACTCACTCCTTACCCGGTAAACTTGCCTGCTAAATTGCTATTTTTCCTTTTTCCAACCATCATCTGTTCTGCTGTGCCGGGAGATTTAGATTAGCTAGGAAGCAGGAAATGGTTTCTAGCTAGTCTTTAGATCTTCGGCTCAGCACAGCCAAACCTCCCTTAGGACTGAAGGTTTGCTTGCAAGCAAATTCAGTGCAGGCTCATGGCAAGCAAATTTGAGAGACTGAGCTAGCCGATGGCAGATAGATAGATCACTGAATGATTCTGTGAGCAACTCAATCTGCCTGCTTTGCCTGATTTTGGGTAAAAGTTGTTTTTTAAATAAAAAATTCAATATTTACATGAATGGTGTGTTGTGAGTTAATTTTGTGAGTTTGCTTGCTAGCAAATTTTATGAGTTTGCTTGCAAGCAAATTTTATGGGACAGACTGAGCTAGCCAATGGCAGATAGATAAACCTCTGAATGAATCTGTGATTCCGTGAGCAACTCAATCTGCCTGCCTGCTTTGCCTGATTTTGGGTAAAAGTTGCTGTGATTTTAAATAAAAAAATCAATATTTACATGCATGGTGTGTTGTGAGTTAATTTTATGAGTTTGCTTGCAAGCAAATTTTATGTGACAGACTGAGCAACCAATGGCAGATAGATATATCTCTGAATGAATCTGGGATTCTGTGAGCAACTCAATCTGTCTGCTTTGCCTGATTTTGGGTAAAAGTTGCTCTTTTTTATAAAAAAATCAATATTTATATAAATATTTATAATATTTACATACAAGCCATGCCCAGCCAGTCACATGACCACCAAGCCACACCCACCAATTAGGCCACACCCACAGAACCGGTTAGTGGTCCCTGGGATCTAAAATTATGAGTTTGGTGGCCCCTGAGGTCCAAAAGGTTGGCGACCCCTGTTATAGAGGTTGAGAAAAACTCTCTTAACTATTAAATAGGTGTTCTCATTACATAATTTTGCCAGAGAAATGTGTCTTTATAATTACTTATACTCTAATCTGTTGCAATGACTGCTTGATGTTATAAAAGATAGTTGATTTCTTCTCTGAATGCCTATTAGCATTTAAAAAACTGCCCATCTCAAAAGAAAAATGTCAGATTGGTATTATCCCATAATTTAACACCATGAATTCTGATTCATAGCATGAATTCTGTTTTTTCCCCCTTTTGAACAAATCCATTGATCCAATACAAGTAACAAAGTCTCTATCTATTTTTAGTAGAAATATGTTATGAATAAATCTTCTTGAGGTATCATTTAAGCATTTTCTGTCTAGAAGGAACTTTCAAAATAACTTACTGGTATAGTTGTGCCTGTAAAAAAAATAAGTAGAGGCAAAAATGGGTACATCTTTTGAGCCTGAATCTTGATACAATATTATAACTTAGAAATGCAAAATAATTATTTTAAAAATTTTCAAATGTGCTAAACAAAACCTTTCAGCAAAATTGCTAATAAAGACTCTTAATGTGGCTAAAACTTGCTATTTTTAAAAGTTGTTTTATTTATTTATAGGTGGAATTAGCTGTATAAATAAAAATAAGTTTCAAGCATAAGCACAGAATAAGTTTGTAGAGGAAAATTATTTGCACAAGATTTTCTGAATGTGCTAGCAAGTTGTAGCGTTTGCATTCTAGCTGCTTGTTATCAAAGAAAAATAATATTAGGGTCATTGCATAGTGATGACAAATGTTTGCTACTCTTTTGGTAAAGCAATTTTTTGTCTGGAATGTGCTTGAGATCCCAAACACTTGTTAAAACTTGCCCGTCTGAGTTTGCACTTTTCAGCTTTGTAGATAATGTTTATTTTCGGAAAGAAATAAACAACAAATAGTATTAATCAATTTAAAGACTACCATTTCTACCTTTAAATATTTTTTTGGTATATGTGTTTGCAGAAGATTGAAAACCTCAGAGAAACAACCAATGTAAGTTTTTGTTTTAAATCATTATGCACTTGAAATCATATTTCATCTGATTCCCTTAGAATGCATTGTAATGAAGAGGACCAGATTTTAATGTCTTGTTCATATTTATGTACATATTCATCTTTAACAATGTGTTTACTAGTAGAACTTTTTAAATGAAGTGGTATGACTACCCTCCTTCCACAAGTGACTTGTACCATAGTGCTTCTTATGATATATTAATGGAGAAATGTGAAATAAATGATTTATATCAGCAGGCCATATTGTAGTAGATTAATTTTATTCATTTCCTACTATCTGCTAAAGTAGGTGAATTTCACTGTAGATTCAAAATATATACAGCATATCTATAAGACAAGGACTATTTTTATTAGGTAGCTATCAGAATAATATATTTTAAAGTGAAATCACATACACATAACCATAACAATAACTATTAATGACTTGTTTATCAAAAAGTCATTTATACAGTTGAAATACTTAATGTGATTATTTGCAAGTACAAGCAATATTTTTTCCGGAAGTACACTGCTGGTATAGGGATTGCATGCTAAGGGAACAAAGCAGGACAGGAATTAATTTTAAAAACTCTGAAGTATATCCTCAGTTGTTCATAGTTGTTAAGGTTATTAGATATTATAACAATATCTTTGAAAAATAAATGCTAAAAATAAATGGCAAAGACCTTTTTGCAAGTGCTTTTGGATTGGTTTAATTGTTTAAAAACAATTTAAGCTTTTAGAAAAACTTAAATATTTTTTTCCTTCCTTAGAGCATGGTCGAATCAATAAAACACTGTATTGTGTTGCTGCAAATTGCTAAAGTAAGTATTTCTATCAGTATCATATAGTAGAAAATCGTGGTATTTTGGAGAAAATGTTTGTGTGTTGTTTGTTATATTGTAGTAATGTGCAATTTAAGAACTTGAAGGGGAGGTGTTCGTATTCATGCACCACTTAGGTTCCATCATCTTGCTTTCTTAGTATGAATTATTTAATAAATATAAATTCCTTGGCTTTCTAACCAATATTTCATGTTTTGAGCTCCTGAGGACATTAATACGGACATTCATTCATAATCATGAAAGAGTTGCCACACTTAGATGGTATACTGTTGATGGTGAACATATTTAATATTCTATTATGACAAACTGCTATTGATTTTTGGAGCATGGAACTGCATGACCAGAGGCAACAAACTCTGGTTATTATTGCACAAAACTCCAAGCTGAAGGAGGAAGAAGCAAATGTTTATCATTTTTTTCCTGAACTGGGTTACAAATAAATTGTATGAATTTGAAAGAGTGATCTTAAAATTTGTTGTGTTTGAGGGCCCATCTTGACTTATTGGTTTCTCAGTGTATATTTCACAATTTCTTCTTGGAACTTGGAACATCATTTTGCATGTACTAGAGAAATAAAATTTTAAATATTTTTCTATCCTTAATGAGTCTAATAATTAGTTCTGGCATAGAAGTTACGGCAATGTCAAATATGAAAAGTCCCATTTAGTTTTGTGGGGCAACTTAAAAATATCTAACATAAACTGGTCATGGTAGTTGCTACTGATGTATGCATTTATGTATATATGTATTTATTTTGGATCAAAGTCCAAAAGAATAACCATATAATCAAGTAAGATGTAATAGAACAATTTAAAAATGATTTGAGAATGAAAATTTTGACAAACCTTCAAGCAACAGATAGCTGATACCATAGATTGGAGTTGAGTGCAAGCCCAATGCCTTCTACCCTCAGTTGCAAAAGAACAGAATTTTCATAGAAATGATTAGATATCAATGCACTTGGGCCAAAATACATTTGAACAATTCTTCTAAGAAAATTGTTTTAGGTACAATTCTGGCATTAGGAATTGATATGAGAAGAAATGCTTGCTCTGATCTGTTGGTAGGATAAAGTATATACTGGTAAGGGAAGGGCATTGTCTGCAAAGCTAAAATAAGCATGATATAACATTCTTGAAATAATAAAATACTGGGGGGAAAAAAGAATGGTAAAGTATTACTGATATTTTAAAATTTGGGAAATTTGGGAACAATTAAAATATGACAGAATAATGGAGTTATCCTTAATTAATTTTAAATTATATTAGAAAATAAAGATTATCAAGAGCAACCTATTTAGGTATTAGTTCAAAGTAGAAAAATATTAATTTTTAATTTTTCTGTATGTATATTTTGAAGGCTTATTTTGTTTCATATGTACAATACACATGAAACTCAGGATATTTGTTTTATTGAAATATGAAGTTTTATATACTGAAGTAATATAAACAACTAAATTATTTTATTAGAAATGTAATGAAGTATTTTAGTTATTAACATTATTTTAAAATTTATTTTATTAATATTTTTAAAAAATTCTTAGGAAAACTTTGAATAAAGAGTTCGTTATATGTTCCTAAATCATAAACTGTTAATATCCTTTAGGACACAAATACAGAAGTGGTCTATTGTACAGTTGTACTATGATAAAAGTAAATTTGTACCAATAATTGTAATTTAGCTCGAAACTTAATGAACCATGTAGATTGTTAGTTTTTTTTCCTAATATAGAAAAATTATATTTTAGCCAGACTTGGCACTTTTTGTATGGTAACCAAACTTGACAATTTTCAAAAAATTCTAACACAGTTTATTTTTTATTCTGAACTGTATTCCTTTGTGACTGACAGTTTCTGATAGTGTAATGAGTAGGAACTCCTCAAGAAAAGCAATTAATAAAGCAGCAGCATTACAATGAAAATTGGGTTTGAAAAGGAAGATAATCGGGAAACTGTACTGTTTGAGCCTACGACTTTGTCTTTAATTAGGTAGGGCCTTCTACCCTACCTAATGGGAGATCTGTAGCAAATTGGGATTATTTATATGACTGCAACAGTATTCTCTCATCACCTACTGGGATTAAGAAATAAAAGTAAAGATTGCTCCTCCATCCCTTCCAACTTTAGGTGTAATAAGAATTTAACATATGCCTTTACATAAATACCAGAGAAATGACACAGGATGTTCTATATATCAATATATTGCATTTTGAAAAGGAATTAATGTAATCAGGAACTCTTAATATTACGAGTTTTCATTATGTAATAAATTAAAGATTATGTCTGAAACAATTCTATTGGGGCTCTGTGCAGTCAAAATGGTATATACAGGCTACTTTCTCTTAAATTGTCAGCGCGGAGAGCTTGCAGATGTTATATTCTGTGAAGCTCCATATGCAGAATTTTACATGATGTGGTTTATACTGACCATCAGAACATGGTGCCTTCTAGTAGTCACTGTAAGTGAAAACACCACATTAAAGCTATTAATTATATTTATCAGTTATGAGCAGTTTCCAACATTCTATTCTTGTAATTGTGTATCTTGGAAATATTATTAAATGAAATACCGCCATCAGTTACATTACTTAGAGCAGGGATGGCAACCTGCAATTATACCCAAACACCCTCAAATTGTATACTGAAATTTGGAAGCAAAATTATTAGCACTGAATGAGGCAACGTCAACCTCCTTAGGTATTATTTGACATGGGGAATGAGCAATTTGCCTCTCAGAAACCTTTTCTTGCCATTTCCACCCTAACCCCTTCATTAAAGAAAAGGACCTGGAAAAAAGTCAACCCTGTCCCATTTAGCAATGGATGGTATAATCAAACTGCCAGTTGTGACCCTCCAAAACATTAGAAGGCTGAAATGCTGCATCCTATTGTTAAATATTGCCATTTGTGCTTTAGAAGTTATTTTTGAAAATTCTATTGATTTGTCTCAATGAAGAGTTCTTAAAACACATGTATAATTTTATGTTGTAATTTTAGGCCTCAGCAGTATTTTAACTTGGCTCTTTATGAAGTGCTGACAGTCTTGAGTTGCCATTGGTATTCTTGTTTGGTATTTCTTTATGGTATACTGAGAAACATCTGGAAGTTATCCAGAAGAGATTTAATTGAATTTTCTATTGCTATTTGGTGAGCAGGAGAGATCAAGTACTGTAGGATTTTATGAAGTAATGCAAAGCAAGTCATATTGGTGGCAACAAAACCCGCCAAAATTCATTTTAGGACAATGTCTTCATTTTCTGCTAAATTCTGAGGGCTTCCAATAAAAAGGACAAGGAGAATTCAGGGCCCTAATCACTTTGCACAGGGGTTAGGTAAAATTTCGCTAATGTATTCTCTTTGGCAAATTTGGATAATTTAGGTAATTTCACTTCATAACAGGGAAATTTGAATGCGTATCGTAAAGTACTGATTAACTTGGAACAATGGATTAATCATAATTTTCCGTATATTTGTAACTACAGTGGCTCTCCATATCCTTCAAATTTGGATGTATTCCACTTAGCCAGAAGAAAACATTGACCACAAGTGTAAAAGAACATGACAGGCTCACCAGTTTCCTTTCTGTTAATGTTTCTGACAGGCCAAAACCATTTTATTAGTAGCCAGTGTCTCCTGTTAGCCATTTTGTGAAAACGCTCATAATATGCAATCAACATTCAAACTGTATTTCATCATCGAAAAACCAACTTACATTTTGCTTCACATATTCTGTATTTTCATATTCTGATCCAGCGGTCTCCAGGTAATTTAACAGAAGAGAATATACAGTATATAGCTCAGGGTTGAACTGTGAAGTCATTGATATTAATCTGAGTCCAGGAGGAATTTAAAAATTTAGTGAAGAGTGATCCTTTGCTCTTGAACTTGATTAAGATCGAACTAGTGTTATACCAGCTATACTTACTATTTGGGGGGAGGGGGGGTAGGAACTTGTGGTAAAATGCATCTTGTATATAGTGGCACTACTAAGCCAGTGAACATCATTATGTAGTCATTGTTAAACTCAAAGCAAACTCTGCTTTCTTTTAAACATCTTATGAGCAGGCAAGAACAGTGGGACAAAGCTTCAGTCATAACTACTTTTTATATATATGATATCACAATATTGCATTAAATGTTGTGCAAAGGAGCACAATATTACGTTAAAAACGTACATTCTACATATTCTCTCTTTCTGCTGGTTTTCTGTTTTCCACATAATGTGAGAAGACAGAATGAGGGTAGTATTTTTCTGATAAAACTTTGGTTAATCTCACAACCCATCTGAATTGAATCTAGTTAGTACTTGTGTAGTACTTGAAATCATGAGGAAATCTCAGGGTTGTAGGCAGGGGTAGGATCTGACCGGTGTAACTACCAGTTCGGTGATTTTACGTTTCGCTAGCTGCCTGGACAGCTGAGCAGCGCTGCGCGTGAGTGCACAGCAGTTGAAAAAGCACTTTTTTCCTGCTTTTTCAACTGCAGCTGTGTCGCGCAAAGCAGTTGCGATTGAAAAAGCAAGAAATAAAGGTCAGGTAAGAGCCTGGGCGGGTGGGTGGGCCAAAACAGCAGCAGACATAGAACCAGTTCTATATGCTCTCTGTCTGCTGCTCTTCAGAGTTATCGGTTCTACAGAGGTGGACAGAACCGGTAGAATCCCACCCCTGGTTGTAGGTTAGTTGAGGCAATAAAAAATCACCTATAGAGAGGCAATGTCAAATGACTTTAATGAAATCAGCAAGAATCAAGTTCAGCTCAAATGAGTTTTCATTTAAAAGGAAAAACCAGAAGGCATCAATAAATGAAGAATAGTAGAGGCATTTTACTCATAACTGCCTCAAATGCCATTGTTTTCTTCTATATAATATTTATTGTGTGTGACTTTTCTTTGGAAATTTTCAGGAATATTGTTTCTGAATACAAAAAGACACAATATAAGAATCTTTTGTAGGAGTTCTAAGTATTTATATGAATGTATATCTTCATTATTTTTAGAAATTCGTGTATTACGTTTTGCTAGCTGCCTGGACAGCTAGTTTTAACTTGGTGTAGCTTTTAAATGGCAGATTCATTTGCTAGAAAGAATTTTTTATCTACTTCTAAAATAACTGAATTTCTTACAATGAACAACTATATAATGAACAAAGTTTCTAATGAGGAAATTTTCATTTCAAAAAGTGTAATGGTAATTTCTTAAGAACATAAATCTTATAAAAACAGCATTAATTACATTATGACAAATTATTATGTTAATATTTGTAACATTTTTCCTTAAGGATCAGACTAATGAGGAGAAGCACGCAGATGGACTTATAGTAAGTTTAAATGTAAACTATTACTTTCTTTTATCTCTGCAGAGCATTAAAGCTACAGTCATGTGAACGCAGAGACTTGAACCTCCACTTTTTTTTTCTTCCTTTCTCTCTTTCTCTCTCTCTCCCGCTCTAATAAGTATTTCATTTTCAGTATCTTGTCAGTGTTCTAAAACCTCTAAATTCCACTGTTTCTTATGTTAAGATTCTCTCTGTTTCCTATTAATAAGGCAAAATTAAAATTGCCAGTATGAATGGGAAGATAATTGTCTGATATGCCAGAAGTTGTGATTGTTGTTAGAATGGAAGCCTCTTGCTTAAAAAACATAATTAGTGCATCATGTATATGTTCTGTGTCTACAATGAAGCTCCACCAGGAACTTTTGACAGCTGAAAATCTTTTGCTGGGAATAAACCTGTATCATGTTGGGAAAATACTCATCTTGAACCTATATTTGGAACAATACATCCCAATGCCAGGCAGGTTAGATCAACTATTTATGGACAGAAGAAAAATATCCAAATTTATCCAGATTTTCAACATCTATATTTAGCTATGTTTATTATGATTGTGACTCAACTAAAAAGTCTACTGAAGTTTGCAGTTCTTTTATGTTGAATAAAGTAAAAATATAAGAGGCATTTTCCTTTGAAATTAATTTTACTATTTCTCAGGGTGTGCTTTGAGAGTATTTTCTTAAGGTTACAATGTAAATTAATTTTTGGAGATTAATCTTTTGTATGAATTAGCCTCTTGGTTCCAGTTTATTTCTCTGTTCCTCACTTTCACCTTCTTTAGTTTGTTATTTAACCTTACCTCTGATTGCTGGAAAATGTGTTTGTGTAAAGAGCCAGAACTTCCCTCTGACATATTTTTCTATCCAAATCTTCAAATTCCCTCTTTTTTACTTGTCAATGTATTAAAAATAAAATTTGACAGTGTAATTGGAATTGATAATTGGTTGAAGTTTATAGAAGTGATTTAAAAGGGTGAAGCATTTGCCAAACTGCTGTCTTCTGACATAAAGCAGCATTGATTTTCTGATTCATGCAAGCATACTCTCTGTAGATTTATTCAACATTAGCCACGCTGACCATGGGGATGTCACTGCTTGACCTATGCAGAAAGCTACTTGGTTGAAAAACTTGACATTTAGCAGACATTATTAGCCTGATTCCTACTGCATGTAAGAACAGATATTTCTGTCTGGCTTCTCCTCAGTGAACTTCTGTCCACCATCATCCTGTAGGTTTGCTGCTTCTTGCACACAGAAATGGGTAAAGAATACTGTTTACCTATAATTAAAGTAGTCATCTGTCATCTTTGGTAATATATTCCCTTCTGATGTCCGAGTAAGTAAGCTCTCCTGCTTCCTTGGTCCTTAAAAATTGAGGGGACATAAAATTGTGTTTGTGCTCATTGTAATACTTCTTGCTAAACTTCTTTTCAGCTATAGAAAAGTTTTGATGTAACTAATCAAAGTTGTAGAATCCATGTGACTCAAATAATTCAAAGAAATATAGTAACAAATAAAATGTTCTTCGAGTCTCCGAAAAGATGGCATTAATCCTTTTTAGATTTTGCAAAGATTTCTATATATAATTCCGGATGTATTAGTTAATAATGGACCTGTTTACTGAAGATTAGGGTATAGGTAGTTCTTGAGTTACAACAGCGATTGGGACTGTAATTGTGGGTGCTAAGTGATATAAAGCACAATGTCATGTGATTGTATTGCTTAGCAACTGCAATCCCATTTGCCATCATAACCCCAGGACCATGTGGGTCGTTAACTGAAGACTCCATGGGATCACAACATGGGAAGAGGTGGGAGTTCCAGGCAAGAATGCTGGAGGACAAGAGGTGCAGCTGACAACAATAGGCAAGTGCTGTGGTGTGTGCATGGGTATTGTGAGCCGGCACTATGGAGCACATGTGGGTGGGTCCTTATAGGCATGTACTACAGAACTTGAGCAGATGAGTGCCACAGGCAAACATGATCATGGGCAGGTGCCATAGGTAGGTGGGTGGGTGGATGAAAAAGAAGGAGCGGAAATGACTTGGGTCTTCCTGCAACTTTCCCACTGACTTTTCCCGTGAAACAGGAAAGATTGCAAATGATATTCATATAACCATGGGATGCTATAATTGTCCTAATTGTGAACTGATTGCTAACTGCCTGAATTGAGATTGCATGGCCATGGGGATGCTGTGATGGACAGAACTTTGCATCTGGTTTAAGTTCCCTTCATTCAGCTCTGTTGAGTGGTCATAATCTGAGCATTACCTGTGTGCTAACATGTTGACATTCATATTTCTGAGTTTTTCATTTATACTTCATGCAGAATAGCAAAATGCTGTATTTTGGAGCATATATTAAAATGATGTATAAAGTTGACATTATAAATAGTGTCTGTACACATAATAGTCATAATTTAGTATTAAATTTAAGAGGTATATATTGGATAATTATGCTGATTTGGATGAATATGCTAATGTACCAACTTAGAGAAAAATGCAATACATTATTTGAAAAGAGTAAGGGTTTAATTTTCTTTAGTGCAATAGATTGGTAGTTTATAGCTTTAAATATCAAAATTTGATATTTTTCAAGTATTTAGGATCCAAATGTAAAAATCAAGATTATACAAGAAGACTGAATTGATCTAGGAAGCTACTAGTGGAACCTGTGAAAAATTAGTACATTACTTCAGTAGGCAATATTGAATCAATTCAGTCTTCAAGGTGGTCTTGAATAGTAGAACAATGTAAACATAGTAATTAATTTTGAATGAAACCAAAATATTGAGCCCAGAATGCATAAGACAACATTAAGTATGTTTCTGGACTACTTTACCTCTTAACTTCCTTAGAATGGGATCATCACCCCATTCTAAGAGTACAGGTAATCCTTGTCTTATGATAACAATTGCGCCCAGAATTTCCATTGCTAAGTGAGATAGTTGTTTGATAGATAGTGAGTTTTGGCACATTTTATGATCTTTCTTGCCATAGTTGTTTAATGGATCACTGCAGTTGTTAAATTAATAACATGGTTGTAAAGTGAATATTCCCCATTGACTTTATTAGAAGTTCGCCAAAGGTGATCACATGACCCCAGGACCCAGCAATCATAAATAGAAGCCAGTTGCCAAGCAACCGAATTTGAATTTGTGACCATGGAGAAGCTGCAATGGTTGTAAGTGAAAAATGGTCATAAGTCACTGTTTTCAGTGCCGTTGTAACTTCGAACAGTCACTAAACAAATGGTTGTAAATCGAGGACTACCTGTACTCAACTTGTGTGGGTTAATTTTCCACTATGCATGATGTAGGATTAATTTAAACATGAGTTTGAATATTCTGGGGGGGGGGGGGACTTGGCATGTAGAAATTGCATGTAGTGTACTTTCACAAACTAGTAATTCATGGTTGGCATAATTCTTCTGTAATGTATGCTAATCTCTGTCATAGAACTTTTGCTGTACAAATACATAAAGTGGGTACGATGAATGAAATTTGGGTGCTTGGAAAAAAAAATTGGTATGACTTAAGCTGGCTGGGGAATTCTGGGAGTTGAAGTCCACCAGGCTTAAAGTTGCCAAGGTTGGAGACCCCTGGTTTAAGGCATTCGGTTTTGTATTAATTTAAGAAGGAGGAAGTGAACAGAAAATATATGAGCATCCTGCAAGTAATAAAATAATTGTAGGCAAGTTTCTACTATATGTCTAGTTCATAAGTGTCTTTGAATTATTTCAGATTAAATGCAGATACAGATGTTTTTTTAAATTAACAAAGCAAACTATTTATTGAAAATAATGGACCATCACTGATTTCTTCTTTTCCAGTTTGTAATTGTCATCTGACTGTCATTTGTCTGTAGATTAAAGCTGTTTCATTTTAAATTCCTCTTCTGGGAAGATACAGTTACTGTAATTGTTTCCACTGTATGCTATTTTTTTAAAGTAATTGGGACCTGGAATTTCTTTAGCTTGTTTATTTTAAGAATTGTGTCCAATTCGCCAAGTTGATTATAATTGACTATTCACTCTGAAAAATGCATGTTTATTATGGATGGCTAGCATTCTTGCTAATAATTTGGGCAAAGAAAATACGTTATGCTTTTGCTACTCTTGAACAGCTGTACTTTACCTTCATCTCTTCATGAATTATCCTTTTTTTTTTTAATTGTTGATGCTGGCTGCTGGAAACCCATGCTCTATATCCCCATTTCTGTATGAACTGAGTTGTTATTTTTTGGTTTATTCTTTTGCTTTGATACTCAGACTTCTTCCATCCTAAGCAAATGCTACTGAATTTGGTTATTTTCCTAAATGTTTAAATTGTTATTCTTCTGTTTTCGCTGAATATAACATATTACTTTCCTGATAGTATGTTCTGCAAAGTGTAAATATAGATTATGCTGTTTTCTGAAACACTAGAGGTAATGATATTGCTTTTCAACTTGGAACAGCACATTCAGAATTGTGCTAAAGAAGGAGAGCTGATTCCTGCATGAGTAACGGAAAATCAGCTGCATAATGATATGGCAGTTGTGTAATGTTTCATATAATGCCGATGTGGGAAATCTGCAACCTTTCAAATGCTCTGAAGAACAGGTAGTCCTCGACTTACAACCACAATTGAACCCAAAATTTGTGAGACATTTGTGATGTGAATTTTGCCCCAATTTACTGCCTTTGTTGCCACATTAGTTAAGTGAATCACTGCAGTTGTTAACTTAATAACATAATTGTTAAGGGAATCTGGCTTCCCCATTGACTTTGCTTGTCACAAAAGGTGATCGCATGACCCTGGGACACTGCAACTGTCATAAATATGAGTCAGTTGCTCAGTGTCTGAATTTGGATCACGTGACCATGGGGATGCAGCAACTGTCGTAAGTGTGAAAAACGGTCATAAGTCACTTGTTTCAGTGCCATTCTATCTTTGAATGGTCACTAAATGTAGGTCAAGGACTACTTGTACAACTTTTGACAGTCCAGCCAGTATGGCCAATTGTGATAAATGCTGAGAATTGTACTTCATCAATTGCTGAAGAGCAATAAGTTCCCTTTCCCCAATATTAGCAATGTGATACAAGAGAACTACTATACAAAATAACCCAGTTCTCCGATTTTCTTTCCCTTTGAGTCTAGTACCCCAGTTGAATGTTAGATATGTGACAGAGGACACCTATGGATTATCCTGTTTACTAGTGCAAGAATTTCATATAGTAGTTGTTTAACTACTGTAGGTGGAAACTTTGTTGACCTTTTTTTCTTTAGAGCATCAGGACTTGACATCATATGTTTATTACCTGATTTTAATAAAAAGGTTTCAATTCCTGCATCAAACTTTGGCCATAAGGAAGCTTTAGAGAATTATTTTGTTTGATAATTTTAATCAAAAAAAGTCAGAAAAGGAGAGTGGTGAGGAGTTATGCTTTACCACAGAATAATGCAGTGTAGAACAAGATCAAGCACCATTTTTTCTTTTCATTTCATCTATATGAACTTTCATAATCAGATTGAAATGCTCAGTGATGGTATATGCTTCCTAGTTTTATTCAAGATGCTTGACAAATTGTTTCAGCATCTTGATTGATAATATTGTTGGGTTGCATAAGCAGAGTATAAAACTATATCCCTGAATGACTTGTACTTTTTTAGTGTTGCCATCACATCAGCAAATTAAATTTTAAAGTGGGAATCCTTGGCCTTATGATATTAAAGCAACTAAATTAACTTTAATGGACTATAATCATTATTTTTGTAGACCACTAATGTCATAAAAGCATTTAGTTTTGTTTTTCTCTCAGGACTGACTTCCTGCACAAATCATATTTTATTGCGGTTCTCAAAAAGAATTGACCTTGTTTTTTATATCACAGAGCACTATTAATCCTGTTGATGCAATATATCCACCTAGTCTCTTGGAATCTTCAGTGAATAGCACAATGCCTACGCAAACTGTCTTACCTCCAGGTATGGTATCTTTTTAAAAAACCTTCTCTTGTGTATGTATGTATGTATATGTATATGTATATGTGTATGTATGTATATATATATATATAATGCTTTAAAAATATTTTCATCTCTTTCAATTTATTTTTACAGAATGCAGAAAAAAAATGATTTGTGACATATAAAATTGCTAATCCATTGTAAATTAAAATTGGAATGTCCTACAATTGTTCACATTTTCAAGTGGTCCATAAACGTTCTATCCATATAGGGGGGACAATATAGTAGAGTGAACAATATTTTTCCAATTTTCCCAGTTGTTCCTGCCATTTTGAAGGAAATATGTTACAGTAAGACTTTAGTTCCTTGATTGGGATATTGTTTACCTTATTGTTGTTTACCAATCAGGGAACTGCCAAACAGGCCAACAGTAAACAGCCCAACCAAAGAATCTGAAAGACCACCCCCACCAACACTGAGAGGGCAAGCCACTGGAATATAAACTGAGAGCAAACCTCAATCCTTACTATCACTAATGATGTTACCTAACTCTAATCCTAACCTTAACCTTAACCCTAACCTTCAAGAAAACAACCAAGCTCAGAGAGTACCAAGGGCCTCTCTTTTCAGCCCTGAGCTACAAATATTCTCTTTTATTAGCTAAAATGCAGAGTAGTATTGAGAAAAATAAAAAGGGAATGGTGGTGAATTAAAAGGACTAAATAAGCCTCAAGGAGAGTGAGTAGAAGTAAAGATTAAAAATAATTTGTTTAATGCTTTCAGAACCAGCTCAACTTTGCAAATCAGAACAGCGACCATCATCCTTGCCTGTTGGACCTGTGGTAGCATTACTTGGAAATAATCAGACTCCAACACCAAATAGTACAGGTATAGCCCAACAGTCTTCTCTTGCCTTATTAAATATGGAACTTTAGCTTCATAGGAACTTTGTTTATGAAGAGTACAAGAATAGCTTTGCTAATGAAACGTGTTTTTATTAATTCCTTTAGTGTTATTCATAGTAAAGAATGATGATCCTGCCTTGCTTAAAATATCCTCAGTTCTCTTTGGAGATGGTATTAAATACCTACAATGCTACTGCTCCAAATGAGAGTTGTTTGATTGTGGCAGGATATAAAATAAATAAATAGCTATCTATCTAATAACTACCCTCTTCATCTAATTTAGTGTATGGGTTTAGAGGAAGAACATTGAAGATCCTTTTATAGTGTGGATAATTATAATGGAAAAATATGAAATTTGAATCTGAGTTATATACAATTTAAATAATTAATAGCAATACTTTGAATTTGTCTCAGTAATGACTGGATACAATTCTGAACTACATGCTAACATAATATGGTTCTATCAGCCATTCCAAATTTTTACAGATGAGAGCAACTTAATTTTTAAAGTAAACTGCACACTTCTTGTAGCGTAGTAAAACTTGTTCACTAAGGCAAATGTTTAGCATTCAGCCAAGCAGATAGGCAAGAAACAATACTAGTATCTTAGATAATTTCAGTTTTGAGAGTGCATTTGGAATTTCAACAGTAAATAACTGCTGTTCTTACAAAACAGTTGTTAGGCAAGATTTGCATACTCACAAATGAGCTGTGTACACATGACAGCCAGTTGCAAAAAACAAGTGTTCACTAGAAAACAGATTGGTGAGACTCTTATCTGCTATCCCTTTTAGCATTTTAGAATATTCCTTTCTATCCCATCTTAATTTGCGTTCTTTTATATTGTTTATGGGATCCATAAGCATTTATAGGAATAAATATGTTAGCTTTTTAACCATTTATTTAAGTAAATAGATTTGTAAAGGAGAGATGTTAGTTACTGTATCTCTGTATTGTTTGTGTTGGTTTATTTGTTTAAGTATTTGTATCAACTGTATACTAGTATATTTGATTTATTCTGTTACATGTTCAGAATACATTCTTAATAGGCGAAGGGGGGAAACAAAAAATTGCATATGTTTATCTATTAAGCAATCTTTGCAGCTCCCTGATTTTTATTTATTTTTATTATTCTATTTTGATGATCAAATTTAAATTCAGTATTAGCTTAACTTGAGTCAAAGTAAAAAATAATGTTTTAAATACCACAAACACTTGGTAATTTATTTGCATGCATAATCTTTACAGGAAGTGGACAGTCGGCACCCAGCAGCAGTTTAACTTCTCCGAGCCACGTCAATCTTTCTCCAAATACAGTTCCAGATTTTTCTTATTCTAGCAGTGAAGATGAATTTTACGATGCTGATGAATTCTATCAGACTAGTTCGTCCCCAAAGAGATGTTTGGAGTAAGTGATAAAAAAGTATGCAGACAATTATTTCCTCTTTAAGAATTTGCAAAATTACACATACTGTATATCAGCCCCTGAATCTTTTCCATAATGTATTGTGAATAGCTAACTTTTATACAGTCTCTATGTGTACACATAAACAATTTTGGCTCTGAAATTGTCCCTTGCTTATGCAAATTCATACTGTGAAGCAACATTATTGTAGAAATTAACTCATGGGAAGCATTTGATCAATCTCTCTCTTTGCATTTTCAAGATTGGCTTTTTATCCATGAGCTGATATATCTTTAGAGTGTGTGGTGGGTATTCCCAGTTCTAAACAATTTAATATGTCTACAGATGTAGTGGGATAGTCTTTTATAAGAAGGCTTAATTTTTTGGATACAAATTCTGTGATTGTTCGAATTTGCTATACAAATATAAACTTTTTATTTTGTCTGTTCCCTAAATGGTATATTTACTCTACATATTTAAGTTGGCATATATTTAAACTTTTTTTCCAGGTATATACATAGTATGAAAGTTCTTCCAAATTTGATTATGTTTCTAATTATGTTCTAAATTCAGCTATAAGAATTTTGTATTTTTCCATAGCCCCTCAGGATCTGGAACAATTCTAACACGTAGCAACACTGGGAGTAGCATGAAACGCCCAGATACAGCAGAGTCCCTCAACTCTTCAGTGTCTAATGGGACAAATGATGCTGGTAAGAGAAATTCACAAATTATTTAGGCTTTTAATAACTTCAGTATCAGTTCCAGCATGTTGATACAGATTTTTAAAGTAATTTAAAGAAATTTTATTTTTAAAATATGGCCAAGAAATTACAGGGATGAATTTATTTTTTCCAGATCTTTTTGATCCTCATGATGAAAGAGATGATGATGTTGAAGGGGAGTCAGTGGAAGAACACAAAAGTGTTATCATGCACCTTTTGTCACAAGTTAGGTTAGGAATGGACCTAACAAAGGTGAGACTCTGAATTCTTGAAAACTATCACTCAGAAAAAAAGTTAAAATATGAAGCATATGAATCTCTAGGAGGTGAAATAAAAGTTTACCAGCACCTTGGTAGAACTGAAAATTATGAAATCAGTTCATAATTGGTTTTTCTATATTTTAAATTGTGTTTTATTGGTTTGAGGCCATAAATAAAATATTTTATTTGGTTTGAGCAAATGCTAATTAAACACAGGTTGTCTACAAGGCAGTCATACCTAGTAATGTTCCTTAAAACTTAATGCATCACTTTAATTGAAATTACCTTAGTCTGATTTTGGAATTTGAACTTGCTAAGTTTTGTCTTTCTTCAGGTGGTTCTTCCAACTTTTATTCTGGAAAGAAGGTCACTCTTAGAAATGTATGCAGACTTCTTTGCACATCCTGATTTATTTGTGAGGTATTAAATTTTTGATCATATACTGTTTTTCCCCTTATTACCACATGCAAGTTTGATAATACTTTGTGCTGCATACAAACTTACTCATGTCTATTTCATTGGCTGCATTTTTATATAAATATATCTTGTATAAATATATAAAGTAATTTGCCTTTCTGGTAACCATAGAAACATTTTTCCATTTGAAATTAAAAATCTTGAGGAAATATTTATATTTAGTTTTAAAGTAAAATCATTTTTTGTGTTTTCTTTAGTATTAGTGACTACAAGGATCCAAAAGATCGTATGATTCAAGTGGTAAAATGGTACCTCTCAGCTTTCCATGCAGGAAGGAAAGGATCTGTTGCAAAAAAGCCTTACAATCCCATCTTGGGAGAAATCTTCCGATGCCATTGGATATTGCCAAGTGCTGAACAAGAAGAAAATATGGTTAGTAAAATAGCTACATATCTGCATGACACTTTCAACCAGAAGCCAAGGAAAGTAGAATTTTTTGTATTGTATTTGAACAATATAGCTGCCAGAAAACAAATCGCCAAAGGTAGCTCATAGCCATGGTGAGAAGAACCACTTGGCAATTAAATGATACATTATTATAGAATGTGTCCTGTGAATTGTATTTTATAAACACAATTCCCACACTAAATACAACTTTTTTTCAGTCACCGCTCTAGAAGGATAGAGCATTAGAAAGAAAACAAACCCTGGACAGGAGCTTTTCCTACTATTAAAGTTTTATTATATACTGTCTACATAAAATGAAGGTAGTACACTTTCTCATATTTGAAGTACAGATAGTCCTCAACTTACAACTATTTGTTTAGTGACAATTCAAATTTACAACAGCACTGAAAAATGACCACTTTTCACACTTACAAATATTGCAGCATCCCCATGGTCATATTATCAAAATTTGGATTGACAGCTAGTTCAAATTTATGATGGTTGCAGTGTTCCAGGGTCACCTGATCACCTTTTTCAACTTTCTGACAAGCAAAGTCAATGAAGCCAGATTCACTTAGCAATCATGTTACTAACTTAACTACTGCAGTGATTCACTTAACAACTGTGGCAAGAAAGGTCATAAAATGGGGCAAAACCCACTTAACTGTTTCACCTAGCAACAGAAATTTTGGACTCTATTGTGGATGTAAGTTTGAGGACTACATGTTTTACTTTTTTAAAATATCAATAAATCTATTTTATTAATTTCCTGAAGAGATTATAAGAATACTGCACAAAATCAGTATTTTCCAATAAAGAAGATTCCGTATACATTTAGAGGTTCAGACTCTAAAGATCATGTAATTTATGAATTAGGGTTTTTTAATATTATACATGTCAATATTGCTCTATTCCAGTTATTTAATTCCTATTTTCCTAATAAATATTCTGTGATCTCACTATTTTCACATTAGGACAGAGGGATAGGAGACAATAATTTTAAAGTCTTAAGTGCTCAAAATCTTCATTTTACATGTATTTTTAAACATGCAAAATACATATTGTATGTATTTATAAAGCACACTGAAGTGTAGCATTTCTACTTTGAAGGACAACTATTGAAGGACAACTATTACATTTAAGCCGCTTTTTAGTTCTTCTTTAAGGGAAATTGTTAGATACATGGCAGACTTTTTTAGGAACTCAGTTACTGAAATAAATTTATTTTTTTCTATTGTTTAACTTCAGATCTAGAATATTTGTAAATATGTCATGTGTACAAAAAGAAATTTGTATCATGCATAGTTTGGAATCTATTTTGCAGGAGACAATTGCAGATGGACCTGTTCCATGGGTTTCCCCAAATAATGTGACATTTGTAGCAGAACAAGTTTCTCACCACCCTCCAAGTAAGTTATTTTGTTTGTAAGTTATTGTAAAAACTGTTGCTGTTTACATTTTGAAACTTCAGCCATTTTTTCTCCAGATTTCTTACTGGGAAAACAAATATGTGTTTTCTGCTTAGTTCCTGCACTATAGCTTACCATATTTATTTGTCCTTTTAAGTTTCAGCATTTTATGCAGAATGTTCCAGGAAGAGAATTCAGTTCAATGCTCACATCTGGACCAAATCAAAGTTCTTGGGAATGTCTATAGGTGTTCATAATATAGGCCAGGGTATGTCTATCATATCTGAATTTTACTTAATCCTGAGTTTTAATTCTATAATTATAAAACATTTTTGACAAAACATGTATGTATTTCTTTTTTCCTAATAGAGATAGCCTCTGACTGCTGGTAACAATACTTTTAAACTACTAATTCTGAGCTTTTCGGTGTTTGGTACAGGAATTTTTGTGACTTACATAGATTGTAATTTGTTGCTATTTTCTGTCTTTCTGTGCTAATGCAAGAAAATGTAGGTTGTGTAATCCAACCCAGGGATAAGCAATATCTGGTTTTTCCTTTACAGATAATTGTAATCAACTCTAACCAGTCTTGACACAGTGATGAGAGTGATGGGAGTTGTAGTCCAGTAGCATCTGGAGACCTATAAATTTCTGTCACATATTAGATTGTCATAGTTGATTCTTATCGAATTTGGTCTTAAAGAGCAATGAGACCTACTGACACTGCTTAACTGACATTAACTGAGAGCAAACCAGTATTCTCTTGCAGTGGTTCCTATAAAAGGATAAACCAGAATTCACATTGCTTTGCTTATTATCATTGACTACTAACAGATGCAGTTAGTTGTCTGTGGTCAGTTCTGTCCATTTTCAGTTTATGTTTTCTCTCAGAATAAGAGGTTTCTCACTTATTTAATCAAGTATAAGCCACTAGGAGCCATCAAAGTAGTATGTACCAGCATATTGCTCATTCCCTGCTTGCTTAAAATTCTGCTGAAGATTTTTAATCAGACATAATAATTAATTGTAGAACATCCAGGTATTACCACAAGAAAAGCTTTGATGATGATAGTCCTAAAAAATAATTGATAGTTATCGCAAACTTGGTTTTTATTAACCTGATTTTGTTGGCCTTTATTGAAATGCTTTGCAGATGCAATTTTAGCAGGGATATTTAAGTTAAAGGACTTCATTTTGAAGAAAAATACTATGGGTCCTCACAAATATAAAAAGCAATAAAATCATAAGTTAACTTTTTTCTAATTCTGATTTTGCTGTTAAAAATCACTTTCAACTAGGATTTCCAAAGTAGCGATTTGTTCGGTTATTGTTCTAGTCCAGGGATGGCAACCTTGGCTGCTCCTTGTTTTAATGGCCTATTTTTTGGGGGGGGGGGGGGGGGGGGGGGGGGGGGGGCATGAGGGTCATCATTATTGGAAAAGGCAAGGATACATTTTTTTTGCTTGGGGGTGAGAGGCTTAGATTGTGTGCAAGTAAAATAAGAACATCTCTTTCCAGAGCTAAATATAGCCATTCTGCTTTTGGTAATGGGGTAGGGGAATGACTGGTCTGCAGAAATATAACCTGACAGGTTATTTTTGTTCACCTTATTTTAATCCTTGTTGTTTTCCTTTCTCTCTATAAAAAATTGGTATGATCCCATACTGTTGTTTTTTACAGGGTGTGTATCATGCTTAGATTATGATGAACATTACATTTTAACCTTCCCCAATGGCTATGCAAGGCAAGTAATTCTAGTTTTTAGTGATTTTATAAGTGATAAATTGTTTATCTTCCTAGCTGTTGAAAAATCTGAATTTTTTTTGACAGATCTATTCTCACAGTGCCATGGATAGAGCTGGGAGGAGAGTGCAACATTAGCTGTTCTAAAACAGGCTATAATGCTAACATAATATTCCACACAAAACCTTTCTATGGGGGGAAGAAGCACAAAGTAACAGCAGAAATATTGTAAGTATATATATATATATATATATGTATGTATAAGGATGGATTTTAAAAATCACACTCGTTTCAAAGTTCTGATATAAAAAATATAACCGAATTGCTGGAGAATACTTTTAATATTCCCTAACCTGGTGCCCTCATAATGTGTTAGTACAGCCATGATGATGATGTCATCCATTCAATCAATTCCGATCCTTGATGATTCTATGGGCAGACTCTCCACACCTTTCAGTCTTGCACAGTTTTTGTATGCTCTGTCTTGTGTCAGCTTCGACAGTGTCCAGCCACTGTGTTCTTTTAGGGTCTGGTTTCCTTTTACTGCTAACTCTTTCAAACATAATTATTTTCTCCAGTGAATTCCTCCACATGACATGGTCAAAGTAAGTGAGACAGAGTTTCACGGTTTTACTGTGTTGTACCGTACAGTACAGCCATATTAATTGGAAATAATTACATTCAGTCAACTGCAGGGGACCAGTTTAGGGAAAGCAGTTTTAAGGATTTTGACAGATGCCCTCAGCAGGTAGTAGCACCTAACCAAACCTTTTCTGACCTTGGACACTTAGTAGGGCTGGAGTGGTTAATATTGGAATGAGAAAATATTAGGCAGTACTACTACTGTAGGATAAATAGGGACACTGAAAAAATAACCCAGAAAATTATAGGGTTATGTCACTAATATCAATAGGAATCAAGCTTGAAGAAGTTCTGATGTGCCATGCTGAGCTAAGCATTGAACTAAATTGACAAGGGAGTGGCCCCTGATTTTAATTCTTCTCTTTTCTAGTTCACCTAATGATAAAAAATCCATCTGCTCAGTTGAAGGAGAATGGAACGGTACCATGTATGCAAAATATGCAACAGGGGTAAAGTATCTTGATTTTTGAATGTTTGGTTAATTCATAGATTAAAATTCCATATGAAAAAGTTTGATTCATTCCAAGAATGTCATTCATTTAATATGCCAATTCATCATTCTGCTCCAAAAACTGTACAGGTCATTGCTTAATGAGAGTTATTAGGACCAGAATTTCCATCATTAGGCAGTAAGGTCATAATACGTAATGTCATATGACTACATTACTTAGCGATGGCAATCCCATGATGCTGTCCTTAAGTGAGGATCACAGATCTCCTCCTGGGTTCCAACAAGCAAAGTCAATGAGGAAGCCTCACATGGCTTGCAAGCAGGCCAGCAGTTGCGGTGGGAGGTGGGATTAGCTGCAGCAGTGCTGGGAATGGTTGCTGTGAATGAACCCATGTCACAGGTGGCTGCTGCAGATGTGCACAAACGCTATGGAGTATGACATCCCTTTATAGCCAAGCTACTTGGGGTGGGGGCAGGGAAGCTGCAACAGTGTGAGTTACAGGAGCATCTTGCAACCTTCCAGCTCCCCCATTGATTTTGCTTGTGGGAAGCAGGCAGGGAATAGCAATCATGTGACTGTGGAATGCTGCAAATGTTGCTAAGCGCAAGTGCCTGGATCACAATTGTGACCACAGGGCTGGTAGGACAGCCAGAACTTCAATAATTGCTTGTACCACTTGTTCAGCACAATACAACTTTAAACAGTCACTGAACAAGCGCTTGGTAACCAAGGACTAGCTATATAACTGAATGCAAGATTAAGCCATTTTCAAGATAACTGGTAGATACATGTTCTATGGTTAACATAATTTTTATGAAATCAGTTGCATTACTGGAAGCAGATAGTGGATTGCGTTGTTTGTCTATATATAAAGAAATATAGATATGAGAAATACTGATAAATGCCCTAATGAAAAATGGATTTAAGTTGAATAAAAACCTAACAGAGATTTTCTTTCTTTAGGAGAATGTAGTCTTTATAGATACCAAGAAAATGCCTATCATTAAGAAGAAAGTAAGAAAACTGGAAGATCAAGAAGAGTATGAATCCCGCTGGTCAGTGTTAATATACAGTACTTTCTTGTTTTGCTACAATAACAGCTTCAAAAAATATTCTCAAACTCAAGTAGTAATTTACTTGAACTAAATAGAAGTAATGTTAATGAACGTGGGATAAGATATGGTATTTTTTTGTTACAATATTTTGTACGCTGCCTATTTCAAATGGATTATCAATGGTTCAAATGCATATGTGAAAACTTACAAGAAAATTGAAATGTGTTGTTCAATTATAACAATACAGTTTGGGCAAAAATTATGTAAATTATGTAAATCTGCCTTTCTACCTCTTTTAACATGACCCACATTCTGAATAAGGCATTACAGGTATTCCTCAACTTACAATCATTTGTTTAATGATTGTTGAGAATTACATGGCATCAAAAAAAGTGATTTGACTGGTCTTCATGCTTATGACAGTTGCAGCATCCCCATGGTCACATGACAAAATTTGGGTACTTGGTAACCGGCATGTATTTACAGCATCCTGAGGTCATGTCATCACCATTTGCAACCTTCCCAGCCGGCTTCCAACTAAGCAGCCCAACTAAGAAGCTGGAGTTGACCACTTAACCGACATGGCAAAGAAGTAAAATCATGTGCAACTCGTTTTAACAACCATCTTGCTTAGCAACATAAATTCTGGTTCCAAATGTGGCTGTAAGTCAAAGACTACCTGTACTACCTTACCCTCCATCTTGAGTATAAAACTAATACACAGATAGAAGAGCTCATAGTGCACAGATCACGCATTTTTGCAGAACTGATAAGCCAAGAAAAATCACAGGTTATTTCACACGTTATTATCTTACCTCTCAGACGATGCAGAATCAGGTATCTGGGTGGATTTGAACAATTTTATCAGCAAAGTGTTTCACAAACACCTCACAGTGGTCTCAGGAAGCTCTTTTTGAATCTCACATCCCCAAAAGGTATAAATCACCCTAAATCACAGAGGTACACTCCATTACTGCAATAAGGGTGGAAGATTAAGAATTCTTTGCCACCGCTATTGTATATATAAGGCTCAAAAGCCCTTATGTCAGGTTCATTTCTAAGCTTCCTCTATCAACATTCCAGATTGTTTTCTGCCATCTCATCTTCTGGAGTTCCTCAGTAAAATAGAGAGCAACTCAGATTAGTGAGCAGAGAATGGTCACCCAGGGTGACCATCTTATCGCACTTTCTGTATTTTAGAGGTCCAACAGATATTTGATGAAATTGCCTGACAAATTATTGGGATATCCACCAGGTGTTTTAGAAATCCATCCCTTTATACCATTCTAAATGGATCCAGGGATATCGATGGTAGTGAACAGACCTCATTCAGATCAAGAGTGATCTAACCACAGTAGTGGACCAATTGTAACATTTTCTAGTTTCAAATCAATTTGAGCAGGCTTAACCCTATGTAGAGCTTGGGAACAAACGTGATGATTTCATTCTCTCCAAACATGTCTTTCTAGATTAATAAAATTATGGGATATTTTTTTTTTGCAATTTATATATTTTTCTATCTTTTTTTAAGCCTATGGAAGGATGTAACCTATAATTTAAAGATCAGAGACATTGAGGCAGCCACTGAAGCTAAGCATAGGCTCGAGGAAAGACAAAGAGCTGAAGCCAAAGCCAGGAAAGAGAAAGAGATTCCATGGGAAACAAAGGTAGGTTTACCTTCAGAAATTATTCCTGTGTTAAATCCTTTTGCTCCTATGAAATTGTTAATAAGTACTTTTCTTTTACAGCTGTTCCATGAAGATGGAGAATACTGGGTTTATGATGAGCCACTACTCAAGCGACTTGCTGCCAGTAAATATTAAGCAGGCCAGGCCTGTGAAGTTCAAGCCTTGAATTAGTGGTACTAATTGTAATGTTGAAAGGACTCTTCTTTTGGAGAGCCTGTCTCCTTCAGTTACAGTTCCTATCTCAGGGATACTGGACTTTCTCATGCAGTGAACAATTAAAACAGGAAGAGCCCTGACTGTGTAGCAGTAATTTCCTGTCTTATCTCCTGTGCTTCTAGGAGAATAAAACCAAGGCTCAAGTTAGGCATACATACTAAGCATTGCTGTAAAAGGTGCAAAGAGGCATGTGTCTCATATATAGGATTCTGGCATTTACACCATGCATTCACATGGCTTCATTTACTTAGAACTTGTTAATTTCTATGTTAATACAAGGACTTCTTTTGCCAGTTTAGAGAACTCAAGATCGCATTTAACAAATAATAATAATGGTAGAAAAAAATCTGGCATTTGTTTCCCTCAAAAAAATCTTTGAATTTTTATTATAGATTACCATTTGATTCTTGCAGATGCATCTATAATGCTTCATAAAATGGATTTTCAAAAGTATGAATTGTTTTATTGTAGACAAAATCATTTGCAGTCTAAAACACCTTGCTATAAAGATGTTCAGGACAAGTCGATCCTGTTCAGCAGAGATATTAATTTGGAAAATTCAGTTACCCGTATCATATACTGATTTATACCGTGAATAACGCAGAATGAAGACTTAAGTGATCTGTTGCAACTATAAACAGTACATCTGTTTTCTCTTAAGGACTTGTGTCCAGACACTAATGAGTGATCACACAGAGGTCTGCGCTATTTTATTCAGAAACTGGTGATAGCTTTAAGCTCCGTGGTCTGACTTTATTGGTCTGTTCTTCTTTTCCTTGGCCCCATGATAACCTAGTTTAGTTAAAAGTTTAAAAATAAAAAATGATCTTTCAATTAAAGTGCCCATTCTATTCTAGGAGCCGTTCTGATTAAATAGTGAAAAAAGCTCTTTCCTGTTAATGTGTGTTTTCTAGAGAATTCAGATAAACTTAACAATTGATGGATAATTTTCACACTCTGTATTAAGGCTGCCTTAATCCTTGCATTATTTTGATTAGAACCAGGCATAGGTGATGAGTTTTACTTCCTTAAAAAAAACACAGAAAATTCCAATTGTAATTTGGCCTTTTAGATGTTACTGAAGTCCAGCTTCCAAATTTCCTGCATACCCAAGCCTTAACCATTACTGCCAGTGACATCTGAAGTTGCATTACTTAAATAGTTGGAGAACCACATGTTGCTTTGTTTCTCCTGTAGATTAAGAGCATGGGCCATAAGCCTGCCAAGAGAGAAGTTGTCTAACATTTGAGTTGGTTTATACAAACCAACTCAAAGTTATATAATAGTATGCAACATCCCAGAATATTTAATATTATTCTATAACCACTATATGATTTGGATGTTCAGAATCGTTAAATATGCCCTGATTTACCATTTTTTCTCCGTCTTCCCCTCTTGTTCCAAAAGCAAAGGACTAAGACTGAAGTACAGGAGAAACAGCTTGTATTCACCCTATTTCCACTTTTTAAGTTCTTGAAACTAATGGTACGTTCAACTATTTTCCAGTTTTGCTTTTGTAGAATTACAAAAACCCTAATCTCAATTTTTCTTTTTCTTTAAGGAGCAAACTCACCTTAAAAATAACTGATTTAATATGATCCTCAAATGTTTTTTACTTTAGCAATCTCACAAAAAACCAAGAATTTAAGATTTCAATAATTTATTGCACACGTTATTTTAAGAGCACTCATCCTGAACTATCTGATGAAGATGATTCCTAGGTATATTCTTAATACTTTTTTCATTTGAAGCCAGAAATATTTTTTCTCTAAATTGTTGCAATATAGGCACATTCAGTTTAAAGTAATCTAATAGCGTTTTCTGGATAGCAGGTAATATTTTACTTCTGAGATAGTCTTTAGTCTTTTTTTACCCACAGCTGTTATGGAAGAAGCAGCAGCATTCCAGGCAGAAAGCACCCAGAATAATAATTGCCAATGGAGGACCCATTTACTTTTATGAACAAGTCTATCTTTCTATACATCCATTGTAATATATATTTTCACAAAAAAATGCTCACTCTTATGTATGCTTTGCTGGTTAAAAGACACGCTTGGAATATGTACATTAGTTTGTAAGAAGTCAACTATTTTCCATAAAGCCTGGTAAATTAGAGTCTTAGAAGGAAAGCATACCTCCAGAGTATTTAACTTGTACTACACATTATGGCAGCCCAAGATGAGTTATTTTAATATCTTATGGTATGGGAGAACATTGAGAGCTGATGTATACACTTTGATGTTCTTAATGCAAGTGATGTCTGTCAAAGAAGAAGGATCAAAGAACGTTAGCTGAGGTATTTCATTGCTTGAAGGGCTGTGCACATTTGAAAGAGATGGAACTTCTGCATCACCTTCATGTACACCAAATCCAACCACCTGTAATTTCAAAACACAATATAGGAGATAAGTTCTACAATAGATGCAATAGTTTCTATGGCTGCAGAAAGGGCTAAAACAATACTTTATGCCTGAGTAAGTAATAGATTAATGCTTAAATTTAAAAATGATAAGTTTTATTTTGAATTTGATTAACTAGAGCTACACGAGAATCATGTTTCAGAAAGACCAATTTTCTAGTCCCGTGTTCAAAGCCAGGATATACTGCAAAAATATATATTCAAATGAATATAAAGTACAATAGCATATTTTATATTATTTCTATTTTTTACTATTTTGTATCTTGCCTATATATATGGGCAAGATATAACAGTAGAAGTAATTAGATACATTGGCTGTCTTGAGTTATTTTTACATCTATCTCAAGGCACCATCATATTTTAAGACCTAAGCCTTGATATTCACCCAATTTTATATAAGCTACTTACACATTTGTCATAAATACTTACATGTACGCTGAGCACTTTCCTTTCTTTGTGTCTGTGCATTTGAAACCAATCAACTAATTCTGACTGCGAAAGAGATTTTAGAGCATCAATCTAAAACAGAATAAATAGTTTTTAAAAATTAGCATATGTTTAAATAATATAGAAATTAAGCCATCAATACAGGTAATCTTCAACTTACAACCATTTGTTTAGTTACTGTCCAAAGTTACAACGGTGCTGAAAAAAGTGACTTAAAACTGGTGCTCAGTGTTGCTGCATCCCTATGGTCATATGATCAAAATTTGGGTGCTTGGCAACCAACAGGGATTTGCAATGGTTACAGCACCCCAGGGTCACGTGATCATCACCTGCAACCTTCCCAACCAGATTCCAATAAGCAAAAGTCAATTGGAAACCTGGATTTGCTTAACAACTGCATGATTTGCTTAAAGACCATGGCAAAAAGGTGGTAACATTTGACACAAAGTCACTTAACTGTGTCACTTAGCAGTGTAAGTTCTGATCTCAATTGTGATTGTAAGTTGAGGACTTTGTATATACAAAGAATATAATTCTCAATCCTGACTTAATTAAACTTATTTGTATTCTGCCTTTGTTATTTTTATAAATAACTCAAGGCAGCGAATGTATACAACACACTTTCCTTCTCCTGTTTTCCTCACAACAACCCTGTGAAGTAAGATGGACTGAAAAAGAGTGACTGGCCCAAAGTCACCCAGCCAGTTTTCATGGTTCAGGCAGGACTTGAATTCATGGTCTCCCAATTTCTAGGCTGGTGCCCCATCCATTAGACCAAATGGCTCCTTAACTGCCTCCTTATGCTAGTGTTAGAAATAAACATGGAAAGACCATACAAAGGTTTTTTAAATCTGACCCACACAGGAATATTTTTAAGAATTACCTCCCGAACTAGTCTGTCAAATAGATATTGCTGAGTCACTACTTCTGTCCAGTTCCTATCCACTTCTTCACCAAGATGAGAATCTTCACATTCTTTTAATTTAATGAGAGCTGTGACCTAGTATAGAAAAGACATCAACTTTTTAACAGATTCATCTAGTATTTTGAAAGATAGTGTTTTAATGCTCTGAGCTTTTACCAATTAAATATATGTGATCCAATGAGACCAATTTATACTATCTAGATTGTCTTATTTCTATTACATCTCTGGAAGTATTAATCTTCATCAAAAATAGGTATCAAAAATTTGGGAAACTGATTTCTGATAGTCTTAGTACGTTAATTCTTTTGTAATTACAGTTTAAGCATAACTGAGTTCAGATTCTACTTTTAGATCTATATATAGTTGGTAATAGTCCTTTTGAATTAATCAGATAAAAAATTCTCCTACACAATTAAATGGTGAATAATAAATTTCCATTACTTCTTCGGGCCCCTTATGATTGTGATAGTATAACTACAGTACTGCCCTTATACTATTCTGAACTTCATACACTTTGAACAAGCATCAGAAAAAAACTATTTTACTGTTTTGGTGGACAACCAAACCTATTTGATCATTTATTGGAAAAGATTTCTAGAAAAGTAATAAAGAGGAGGTAATAACCATTACCTGAGTCTTGAAGGACTCTTCAGTCATATTTTTGAGTTTTTCTTCAAAACACAAAAAAAATTCTTCTATCTTCTTATCCACTACTTCAGAACTGAGAAATAAATCACAAATATGTATTCTGTCTAATATGCATTTAATTCAATTCCATGTTCTTGAATTTTCTATTATTAAGTATTGAGAAACAGCAAGGTGAAACTGACTACAACTGCATGAAGGGAAAATCAAGTGAAAGCCAAATGGAAACAAAAAATGGTATTATGTACCTCACTGATGTCTTTTGCTAACATCTTATTGCAATATTTCAAAGCATATTTTAAAATTTAAGCTTAAGTCATTGGCTCTGTTCTAATGACACTTTATGGTAATTTATACCACCCAAACAACCCAAAAATTACATTAGGTTAAGTCGTGCTGTTTTGTGGGTTAACTTCGCTTTTTCAATTTATTTAGCGCACACACACACACACACACACACACACACACACATATATATATATATATATATATATATATATATATATATATATATATATATAGCAAGTGACAGTGGTGAAAATGTGTGTGTGTGTAAGTCACCTGGGCTGTGAGATGTATATGCACAATCAAATTTATTTGCTGCCCATCTTACAATTCAGGCAACTGAACACATCCAGGAAAAAAGTTAAAGAATGCTTCTTACTCTGAGGATATTTTGCATAAAATATCAGTCTTAAAAATCTTTTGAGTTTACAGGGCTAAGAGAAAAAGTGAAATTCTCAAATATCCTACTCACTTGTATTTGGTTGCCTGTGTGGCTACAGTAACAGAGAATCCAAGGATCCCAGATGTATTCCTACAACTTGCATAGACATGATATCTAAAAATGAAAGGAGAGAGAAATTGAACAAATTTGCTCTTAAACTGCAAGAAAGCTGACAACCAAACTATTTCTATTTAAATAGTAATATGCTAAGAATAGTTCTTGGCACTGTATTTGAACTTCTGTCAACTGAAAATTATTTTGTGTAGGAACTGCAAGCTGTTTTAACAATTATGGGAGGCGGGGGGTTTTTTTGAGGGAGCAATTTTTGCTAAAGAATGAAAGTCAAGTATTTTTTTACAATTTTGCTAGATTAATTAATGCTCAAATATTGATCAAATATGTTTTCAGCTAAAGGATTACAGGGAGCAGACTCATGATTAAAAATGATATATACTTTTGTGGGGTTGCAACTCTTGAGGGCTTAGTGGAACCTTCTGG